TCTGTTTACTTTTATTCCTCCTGACTCTGTGTGTTCCCTCAGGCTCACATCCTGTTGGACTGTGGAGACGACAACATCTGTAAACCCGACCTGAGGTTGTCGGTGAAGAGGTGGGAAACTTAGCTGCAGCCTGTTTTATCTCAATATAAATAATAATTAACTTTATTTATACAGCAGTAACCCAGGGTTGGCGCGGTCCAATTCAGTTCAATTCAATTCAATTTTATTTGTATAGCGCCAATTCATAACAGAAGTTATCTCAGGACACTTTTCAAATAGAGCAGGTCTAGACCGAACTCCTTATAACATTATTTACAGAGACCCAACAGTACCACCATGAGCAAGACCTTGGCGACAAGGGCAAGGAAAAACTGCCTGTTAAAAGGCAGAAACCTAGGACAGATCCTCCGGCTCTAGGTGGGTGGTCGTCTGTCTCCACCAGTTGGGGGGAGAGAGAGAGAGAGAGAGAGAGAGAGAGAGAGAGAGAGAGACAGACAGGTGCACAGCAACAACAGTATTGGCAATGGCAATCTAGCAGGACCATGGCAGGAGGCTCCACCAGGATCCATGAGAACCTGCGAGACGAGAAAGCACAAGAACTCCGGGGAAGAAGTGAAGTTAGTAACATGCATTAATGGGACATGAATGAGTGCAGAAAGAGAGAGGAAGGGAGGAGCTCAGTGCACTATGGGAAATCCCCCGATAGTCTAGGCCTATAGCAGCATAACTAAGGGATGGTTCAGGACTCACCTGATCCAGCCCTAACTATAAGCTTTATCAAAGAGGAACGTCTTAAGCCTACTCTTGAATGTGGTGAGGGTGTCTGCCTCCCGAACCACAACTGGAAGCTGGTTCCACAGGAGAGGAAACCATCCAAACTGCAGGACTTCAGGGTTCCCACGCGTCCTGGAAAACCTGGAGATTAGAGACTAGTTCTGCAGTCATTGGTAGGATAACCTGACCAGATGTGGAAGCAGAGACACACACAGAAATGTTAACTGTACATGTCACACTTTCTGCTGAAGGCTAACAGCTGCTGAGATGAGCTTTCTGTAAAATGAAATAAACTTACAGAAGGTTACAGAAAGAAAACTGTAGTGAATTCAGTGGAGAGTCTGCAGTCCAACAATCAGTCTCTGACCGCTGACCCGTAATGAACCTGACGCTTCATCAGGAACACTCACTAAAAGAGGTAAATGATACGACTGTGTGAGACTGTGTTTTGTTGTCCAGCGACCGTCAGCAGATCTACATCGGGGATGATAACGCTCTGACTCTGGAGATCAGCGCTGAGAACCAGGGAGAGGGAGCGTACGAGGCCGAACTCCACGTCTACCCTCCGCAGCAGGCCGACTTCACCGGGGTCGTCCGCAGTCAGGTAGCTCCACCTCCTTCACCAAATGGGACTTCATTCATTAACAGACATTCACAGAAATATTTATGAACTATAAATAGTCCTCATTCAAGCCCCCCATGAATGAACCTCTGAGATAATCAGTGCATAATGAGATTTATTGGAAGGTAAGACTGTAGCTCAGTCTTTGTTTCAGACACACTTTCACCAGCAGCCATGCAGGGAAACTGAAAACTGGAGCTGGAAACAAACACCTTGAAGCTTTTGGATTCAGATGGTGAAGGGGAACTGATGTTACAGTCTGGTTGTGTTGTTGTGTTGCAGACCCTCAGCAGGCTCTCCTGCGCCTACAAGAAAGAGAACCAGACCAAGATGGTGGTGTGCGACCTGGGAAACCCCATGAAGGGAGGAACCAAGGTGAGTGTCAGCTCTCCTCATGCTGGGGGATCCTGCTTTTACTGATGATGTCGAGTAAAGTGATAAATGATGAAGAAGGCAACCTGTAGAGGTGGATGGTTAAAAGCAGGAAGCACATTGTGTAGATGAACCTGCTGATTACCTTCCTGTGCTGTGATTGGTCAGGTCCAGGCAGAGTTGCGGTTCAGCGTGCACCAGCTGTCGGAGGAGGACACCTCCATCAAGTTCGACCTGCAGATGGTCAGGTACGGTCCATCATCATCATTGTCTCTGATGTCCATCACAAATAAATGTCCATAAATCCACTTAGAAACACAGACAAAGACGAATAAGAGCCTGAGAATCCTCATGTTTTTAAGTTTTCTTGAGTATCTAATAGCTGTCTGTACGTCCATCCATACACTGCACACAGGAAGTGACGTTGCTGCGTTCCTCAGCAGTGTAGTATCAGTGTCAGACAGCTGATATTGATTATTGATTATTCTCACATTAACTGATTGATAGTTGAATCAGTGAATATGAGAGATGGCTCTGGTTCTGGTTCTGGTTCTGATCTCAGTGATTATAATGTAACCTGAACTGATACTGACTGTCCTCCATACGCCTCATATGGAGGTGAAATTAACTTTAGTTTTATCCATAAAGGTGTTAAATATATAGTGTACAGACACAGTGGAACAGGACGTCAGCGCCGCCCTGTGGCTGCTTCCATCCTCTGTCTGTCTCACACATCCTCTGTCCGTCTCACACATCCTTTTGTCTGTGTGTATTTTAGTTTCCTTTAGTTGATGATCCATTGAGCTCAGTGTTAGTTCAGACCAGATCTGTACTGCCACATATAACTTCCTGCATCCTGTGTCTGTATTTCAGCTCCAACCAGTTCAATAACACCAGTCCTCGAGTCTCCAGCGTCACCCAGCTGGCTATCCTTGCTAAAGTGTCCATCAGAGGGTAACACACACACACACTCTCACACACACACACACACACACACACACACACACACACACACACACACACACTCACACTCTCTCACACACACACACACACACACACACACACACACCAGAGATGCGAGAGACAACAACAACAACAACAACAAACAGCATTCTGACTTATGTTGGTTCATTGTTTCTAGTGAACACACTTTGGGCCTGTCCACACGAATACGCGGCGTCACCCAATACGATGTCGTTTCTAAAGAAAATCCAGAAATATCTGCGTCCACACGGAGTCACTGAAATGACCCAAAACGCTGTAGTACATATGCCAGGCCTGTATGTGGCGCTGTGACGCCGCCACACCAATACACTAAGACCGGAAGAGAAGCCATGGAGCATGCGCTGTTTACAAACAAGTAGTAGTAGTCCGCCGTTGTTATTGTTGTTATGACGCGTCTAGCGGCGGCGGCTGAGGTTGAAGGCTGGAGAGGCGGGGCTAATACGTCATCGTTTCGGAAAAAATCTGTTATTGCCGCCCAGAAGACTCCGGGCAATCCGGCATTTTTGGATTTTCCCACTCTGGTGACCCGTTTTTAAAAAATACCGTTTTCACACCCCAAAAACGGCGTATCCGTCTGGACGCGAAGCCGATACGATAAAGTATTTATCCGGATTTGAGAAAAATGTATTCGTGAGGACAGGCCCTTTGTCTTCCATAGGACAGAAAGTCTGTCTCACTGTGTGAATTAAAACTCTGCTGTCTCTCAGGACGTCGTCTCCCGGACAGGTTCTGCTTCCCATCGCCAACTGGAAACCTAAAGAGCCTCCAGAGGTCGGAGACGACATCGGACCACAGATAGTTCACGTCTATGAGGTACACACACACACACACACACACACAGGTATAATATATACACATTATATATATCGTACACTGACTGAGGGACATATTTCATGGAGTTCATGTAAAACAAGCGATCTGGGTGAGTTCTTCCGCAGGATTATCGGATTGTTCCTAAGTTCCCGGAGGGAGAAATAACAGATGTTAACGAGTTGATTCTGCTCTCAGCTCCTGAACAATGGGCCCAGTACGTTCAGTAAGGCGGCGCTGGAGGTGGACTGGCCGTACCAGTACAAGAACGGCTCACTGCTCTACATCACCAGCTACGATACGGAGGGACCCATCAACTGCACCACGGACATCGAGATCAACCCGCTCAAAGTCCTGGTGAGAACCAAACCCTGGTCGTCTGACTCCCTTACCTCTCTATGGACACACACTGAATAAGGAGTTTATGATTAATTATTTAAAATCGTACTTCTAACTGGGGAGTAATAATTTTAATGTGTGTGTGTGTGTGTGTGTGTGTGTGTGTGTGTGTGTGTGTGTGTGTGTGTGTGTGTGTGTGCGTGTGTGTGTCAGAACCCATTGTCCTCAGCAAACACCAGCTCGGCTCCAACCGGAGGACGAGAGGCTGAGGGACGAAACCAAAACCACGTCCGTAAGAGAGACCTGGAGTCCAGAGATGCACAGAGTGACCAGCAAACACTGGTAAGACACACACACTCACACGCTCACATAATAAACACTATACACAATACACTATACACACACACACACTTTCGTTTGCTCCTTTCAGTCGAGTTTTTATTAGTTTCAGTGTCAGTTTTTGTTTTTTATGATAATAATACTAATAATATAGTACTATATTTTATATCTGTCTGTGTGTGTGTGTGTGTGTGTGTGTGTGTGTGTGTGTGTGTGTGTGTGTGTGTGTGTCTCTGACTGTGTGTGTGTGTGTGTGTGTGTGTGTAGGACTGTAGCACTGCAGACTGTCTGCGGTTGAAATGTCAGGTCGGTCGTCTGGAGAGGAGGAAGAACGCCATCCTCTTCATCTACTCCCGACTGGCTGTCAACAACTTCCTTAGGGTAAACAAACAAACAAACAAACAAACAAACAAACAAATGCTGCTCTGTTTTAGGGTCTGTGTCACAAACTAAACAATATTATTTTCAACAATGATCAATACATTTAAATTTATGGGAAACATATAGGGTCCCAACCTGAGGGTCGGGGTCATAAAACTATACACAGTATAAACACAGTAGGTCCATATCTCAGCATTTATTCATCTCTGGGAAGAAAACTAAACGGTTATTTCTAAAGTCTACATTAATCTGTAAGTTTTAAAACATTCTCATTAAGTAGCTTCAGTAATTGTTAATTGTGAAAAAAAACCTAGTAAAAAGTATTTAATCAAGAATGTTTTTAAACTTACAAAATTGTCGCATTAAATTTTCCATGTAAACCGTTTCAACTGTTTACAGTTAAAATAACTTATAGTAGATTATTTAATATGTAAACACAAGCTGCATTAATTCAATTCAATTTCAATTCAATTTTATTTGTATAGCGCCAATTCATAACAGAAGTTATCTCAGGACACTTTTCAAATAGAGCAGGTCTAGACCGAACTCCTTATAACATTATTTACAGAGACCCAACAGTACCACCATGAGCAAGACCTTGGAGACAGCTAGCAGTAAGCTCATAGCAACACGTAATGTGTCCATCAGTAAACTCCCAGAGAGTGGCTATTTCTGTGACCAAACACTTCCTGGAGTTACAAATGAACGAACATCAACCCGCCCAGAAATCCTCCAAATAAACTGCAGAACCTGCCTGAGAATGTTTTTAGGTTTTCTTAGTCTCAGAGTGATCGTTGTCTGTATGGATACACTGCACATAGGAGCTGATTAAAGTTCATTCTGCGTACTTTTATCGGTGCAACTTTACCAAGATGTGAACATATTTAAACAAAAACCACAATGGATGAAAGATTCGTCATGTGACTATTTTTTTGTTTTCTTTTCAGACTGAGAATCAGAATCGCTCGTATGTGATTCGATCTACAGCCTCATTCAATGTCATCGAGATGCCGTACAAGAAGCTGGTGTCGGAGCTACCGTCCAATAGTACTACTGTAAGACACACGCACACACACACACACAGCGACATGTCATCAGCACAGAAACATCACTCAAACAGAAGGAGAACCATTCCAGCACTGTGCTCTGTTTGGAGATTCATTTATAGAAACATTTCTTAACACCAATTCAATTTAATTCAATTCAATTCAATTTTATTTGTAGAGCGCCAATTCATAACAGAAGTTATCTCAGGACACTTTTCAAATAGAGCAGGTCTAGACCGAACTCTTTATAACATTATTTACAGAGACCCAACAGTACCACCATGAGCAAGACCTTGGAGACAAGGGCAAGGAAACACTGCCTGTTAAAAGGCAGAAACCTAGGACAGATCCTTCAGCTCTAGGTGGGTGGTCGTCTGTCTCGACCAGTTGGGGTGAGAGAGACGACACAGTTGCCCCCCTCAGGGGGCGGGGCCACAGAATTGTAAAGGTCTGATCAAAACAGCTTGTAAAACACAAATATTTCCAGCATATCTTTTATTAGTACAATACAAATATTTAATGAATGGTTATAAATATGAAATTGACTCGTTACTGGGTGTGCCACTAGAGGTCCAGCATCTCAAACAATGAGCCAGAAATAAAACTCAAACAGAGTTAGATTAGAAAATATCCATCAAATGAGCTGCGATAGCCGCAACGTAAGCTAACAGCGCCCGTCAAAGTCTGTCCATTAACAGTAGTTGTTTGTTCAACTAACAGTAGTTGTTGTTTGTTCAACTAACAGTAGTTGTTGTTTGTTCAACTAACAGTAGTTGTTGTTTGTTCCACTAATGGTAGTTGTTGTTTGTTCCACTAACAGTAGTTGTTGTTGTTTGTTCCACTAACAGTAGTTGTTGTTTGTTCCACTAACGGTAGTTGTTGTTTGTTCCACTAACGGTAGTTGTTGTTTGTTCCACTAACAGTAGTTGTTGTTTGTTCCACTAACGGTAGTTGTTGTTTGTTCAACTAACGGTAGTTGTTGTTTGTTCCACTAACGGTAGTTGTTGTTTGTTCCACTAACGGTAGTTGTTTGTTCCACTAACAGTAGCTGTTGTTTGTTCCACTAACAGTAGTTGTTGTTTGTTCAACTAACAGTAGTTGTTGTTTGTTCCACTAACAGTTGTTGTTGTTTGTTCCACTAACAGTAGCTGTTGTTTGTTCCACTAACAGTAGTTGTTGTTTGTTCAACTAACAGTAGTTGTTGTTTGTTCAACTAACAGTAGTTGTTGTTGTTTGTTCAACTAACAGTAGTTGTTTGTTCCACTAACAGTAGTTGTTGTTTGTTCCACTAACAGTAGCTGTTGTTTGTTCCACTAACAGTAGTTGTTGTTTGTTCAACTAACAGTAGTTGTTGTTTGTTCCACTAACAGTAGTTGTTGTTTGTTCCACTAACAGTAGCTGTTGTTGTTTGTTCAACTAACAGTAGTTGTTGTTTGTTCCACTATAAGTAGTAGTTGTTTGTTCCACTAACAGTAGTTGTTGTTTGTTCAACTAACAGTAGTTGTTGTTTGTTCCACTAACAGTAGTTGTTGTTTGTTCCACTAACAGTAGCTGTTGTTGTTTAACTAACAGTAGTTGTTGTTTGTTCAACTAACAGTAGTTGTTGTTTGTTCCACTAACAGTAGTTGTTGTTTGTTCAACTAACAGTAGTAGTTGTTTGTTCAACTAACAGTAGTAGTTGTTTGTTCCACTAACAGTAGTAGTTGTTTGTTCCACTAACAGTAGTTGTTGTTTGTTCAACTAACAGTAGTAGTTGTTTGTTCCACTAACAGTAGTTGTTGTTTGTTCAACTAACAGTAGTTGTTGTTTGTTCCACTAACAGTAGTTGTTGTTTGTTCAACTAACAGTAGTAGTTGTTTGTTCCACTAACAGTAGTTGTTGTTTGTTCAACTAACAGTAGTTGTTGTTTGTTCCACTAACAGTAGTTGTTGTTTGTTCCACTAACAGTAGTTGTTGTTTGTTCCACTAACAGTAGTTGTTGTTGTTTGTTCAACTAACAGTAGTTGTTGTTTGTTCCACTAACAGTAGTTGTTGTTTGTTCCACTAACAGTAGTAGTTGTTTGTTCCACTGACAGACTCAGGTTGTTATTGTCAGTGTCTGACAGCATTATGGAAAGGATCCCTACAGAGATAGACCTTTAGTTTAACCACAAACAGCCGTAATATCACTATCACTCTCCACCAGACTCCAGAGACAGAAACACTCATTTTACCTTCAGATCATCGTAACTTCATTCAACGTGGACTAAATGAATAATGTTAGTTATTAGTTAGTTAACCAGTTAGTTCTGGTTTCTCATCCAGCCGATCATACAGAACTTTATGTATTTATGTAAAACGTGTGTGTGTGTGTTTTCAGGTGAGTCTGTCGGTGGTGTGGGTGGCAGAAATTCCTCAGTCGGTCCCAGGCTGGGTGGTGGCTCTAGCTGTGCTGGCGGGACTGCTGCTGCTGGCGCTGCTCATCTTCATCATGTACAAGGTGGGAAACAAACAGTGTAATGGTTATAGAATAATGGCACGCGGTAAGATCGGTAACCAGGGAACCAGACCAATCCACAGAGCTGATGTCTGAATGGGTCTGGCAGATGCGCCTGGCCAGCCTTCTGAATTCCGCCTGTCCGTGAGTCCGATCTCGAGGAAACTTGGCACAGAGAGTCTCTGGACCATGCTGGCCAAAAGTTGAATAAAGAACTTTGATACGTCAAAAAATGTGGAAGTTACCATGGAACAACTTCCTGTAGCATGTACTGGAGATATATCTCACTGAGGCTGTGGACAACACGACAGACGCTGTAAAAGCCTTTCCAGGCGACTGTTCAACCGATGCTCGCCGTCGGCCTCGTCAACTGTGTGGCAGAAAATGGATTTTACTATAATTCTCTTTCTTCTTCTGTTCCTCTGCAGTTGGGTTTCTTTAAGCGGGTCCGCCCCCCCCAGGAGGACTGCACTGAGAAAGAGCAGCTGCAGCCAGAGGAGAACGGCAACGCTGACGCCTAGAGGTCGAACCCTGAGGACCGTCACCCCCTCCACACCCCCCCTCCGTCCGTGCAGAAACAATCAGGGTAAAATGTCTGTGAGGAGCGTTTCACTGTATTCACTGTTGAGTAGCAGATTATGGTACTGGTACTGGTTTAAGGTTTTGTTTTTATTTTCTTGTTGTGTTTGTGCCAACTTGGGTCAGAGGAACTCCTCAACGCTCAAGAATTCATATTTGAAGGTTAAAGGAATAGTTCAACATTTATATTGAGAGTGAGATGTTCGGATTGATGCCAAGCTGCAGCCAGTTAGCTTAGCTTAGCATACAGACTGGTCACAGGGGGAAACCTGGCTCTGTCCGAAGGTAACAAAATCCACCTACCAGCACCTTGAAAGCTCTCTGGTTAACACAAATCATACAGCAGGTTATGAGGGTTTATTTTCTCCTGTTGGTTTTTGTGCGGATTAAAAAACAAGATCTAAAGTGAGCTAATTAGTGACTTTAGAGGTTCTGGTGGATTGATTTAGAGCCAGACAAATGTGGAACTACTCCTTTAACACACTGAGCAAGAATTCTTCATGATAATCTGTAACTCCAACATTCAAATGAGGCTTTTTCTTCTGGAGATTGGAGGCTTTCGTCTGCACCAGAGCTTGTGGAGTTTGGCCCAGAATTTGCACATTTTTTTCCCTGAACCCAAAATGATTGATGACCTGTAGGTGCTTGTTGCCCACAACGTCCAGAACAGCTGATAATTCGTCATTATTTGATCCTGTCCTGATCGACAGCACTGTTTCCTAACAGAGTTAGTACAGCAGGGACCTCTCCGGGTTGGTAAAGGACTACGGAGGAGGTCTGAGATCAGATTGGTGCTTTTCTGCTCAAACGTTAGCTGCGAAGGTATCTCCACGAGCTTCCACAAAGTGCTTGCTAGTCTCACCATAAAATGCTAATAACAATAAAAAGAAAAAAATGACTATTAATTGAGCACAGAAAATGAGTGATGAGAAAATATGTTAAATAATTAAGCAAATGAGTAACAAAAACAAGGCTAGCTAAGCTAACAAGGATAAAATTGTTGAAAGTCTAAATGAGGTGATAAAGCAGAGGATTGTGGGTATGGGACGTCCTCGCCAACAGTAAACAGAGTCTTTATCCCGAGCTGGCTGATTGGCTGCGCTCAGGTCTCTGTTTTTGGATAAAGGTGGTTGTGATGTGGGCTGACAGTAATATATTTACCCTGATCTTTTTATTTCTTCCTGCTTTGTGTTTATGGGGAAGCTGGTTTGAACGTCTCGTGTAAGAGTCATTACTGCTCTGCTCGGGATGCTGGTGGGGTGTTTCACTATTTTTTGGTATTTTCTACAAAACACGATCAAGAATTTTGCAAAGTTTGCTTTTTTGTTTGAAATGTTTGAAATGTTGTTGGTTGTAAAAATCAATGCAAGTGATGAGTTTATATTTGGTTTTGTAAAACTGATCCTTCCTAATTCCCGGTCAGAACTATTGTAGATTAGCTAGCTAGTTAGCTAGTGTTTTGCTCTATATCAAAATACTAGCTAACTAGCTAACTAACCAGCTAACGATTGATGTAGATTAGTTAGCTAACATTTTGTTGAAATTAGCTAACCTTACTCCTCACTTTTATCTTTTTAACCATCTTCAAAAATATGTCTTTCCAACATAGATTAGCCAAGCACATAGCATAGCACATAGCAGAGGTTCCAAAAGTGGCTAAACCCCTCCCCTGAATAGCGATGTCCAATCATTGCTAGGTGCCACAGGCCCGTTGGAGCAGTGTATATCAACAGTAACTAGGGAGGGCGGGGCTTAACAAACGCTCAGTTAGTTACGGTTATAATTTTCCCGCCCTGCACTGTTATGTTTTTTTTAAGTAGTATTATTTTTCCTCAGATTTCAGTCGTGACTGGCAGCTTTGCTGAGAACAAAAATGCGATGAAAGCAGGTCGCTAGTTTGTATGATTGTGTAAGTGTGCTTGGGAATATTAAAAACAAAAACATTGCTACAGTATGAATTTACCCATATTGGGTTTGCATCATGAATTAATGTTTACGGTTGATGATCATTTAAAAACAAATTAATCCAATTAACAATCACAATGAAATAACTGCTGGAACACTTCGGTTAGAACATGATGCGTGTTTTTGTTTTCTTCAACTGGCATCTTATCCACTGCCTTCTGCGTTCGTCATCCTCTCAATATTCTCCACCGACACTAGGTGTCACTACTGTCGTCATCAAGTTGTCAGTAAAATTTCGATCTCTTCAGCAGTTGTTAGTTAGGGATGCACTGAAAAAACTTCATACTGTCTGAACTAATCTGAATACTGATAGCTTTGTTACCGTAGCATCAGAGCAGACTTATTTGGTTATTATTACAACCCTGAAAACTTGGTTTCATATCTGAAGTCTTTAGAAAAGTCAGCACCTCCAGGAAGTTGCAAACGCACAATTTTGCAGTTTTGTTCAATCGCCACAACTTTTTCGCAAACAAGTTGGCTTTGTTTTTAATGAATTATACAAGAAAAACAGCATTTACAATTTTCTCTTTCTCCCGCAATTTTATTGCAAAAAAATACCTAAAAACATCGCAGTTTTTTGAAAAGCTGCTGTGAAATCAGATATTTTAGGCCGTTAACAATCCTGGAGGAACTGGATAATCAAAATAAGCAGCAATTTAAAAAATACACTACCAGATGTTTCTGGAGAGTTGTCGGGACTGTGATTTGACCAACTGAGAAGAACCTAAAGTTAAAACAGACGTAATAAACGCGATCAGCAGCTCGGTAGCATCTGTGCGTCCCAAATCTGACGAGGTAGATATTGCGTCATGACGGAGAGGCTAACTGCACTGTTAAAACGTTTTACAAGGATATTTCTACGTTTAAACTAGACTAATATAAAGCTTTTTAGGGTTCTGCAGGACTGACATCAAATTACAACTCAGTCATTATTTTATTCACAAAAGATGCTTTTAATGAAATATCTGTTCAAGTTCTACATTATTATTCTATTATTAAATTTAATTATTTATACTTTTGGAAAAGTAAATTTGAGATTAAAAACAATAAAAAAAACTAAAAGAAACCTTCCTGAGTCGACAGAATGCAGTGATTTGAAGTCAGTCCTGCTGTTGTGTTTGAGGGGTTTGAACTGATTTATATTTAATACCACTGTCTTTCTTTCTGCATTACAAAATATGGACTATTTTTGATGTATGTATTCTTTCACCTAGAGAATAAAAATTAACTATTTCATAAGATGATTTCACCTTTTGAGCTGAAATAAACAGACTTTCACAGTTCACAATTTGTTCAGTGTTTGTCTTTTTTTAAACTGCATGATGAATCTTTGAAGCCTGTTGAAAATATTGGTAATTCACCTGCTTCTTGACACTGGTAGGGCCATCAGACACAGAGACACAGTGGGGTTTTCTTTAAGATGTTTATTCTGTTTCATTGAGAACAATAATATTGAAAGGGTGAGACCTTCATGTTCCACTTCCTTGTGATTGGTCAATGTGTCAGCAGGAAGCTGAGGTCACTACCTGGGTCATACTCCACTGAGGGCTTTCCCCTAAAACATAATAAAACAACAACAAAACACACTGTGGTGACTGTTGTTACTGGTGGTACTGCTTCCAGGTACTGCCTGTGTGTGTGTGTGTGTGTGTGTGTGTGAGAGAGAGTTACCGGGTGAAGAGTCTGGCCTTGGTGGTTCCCAGTAATGTGGCTTTGTTTCCTTCCACCAGCAGCATGGACCCCTCCCTCAGACCCTTAAAATGCACAAAATTGTAATGACCAATTTTGAAGCAGATCAGATGAATTCCCTAGGAGGAGTTCGTTCAAATACAATACGAAAAATCACAGAAAATAAAAAAAATAAGTCAAAATGGCTGACTTTGATGCCACGCCACGGACACGTCCTTTAACGTACATGCACAAATAGCACAACTTTTAATCAGCAACATTTCCTATCTGTACTGACCAATTATGAAGTAGATCAGATGAACTCCCTAGGAGGAGTTCGTTCAAATACAACGCAAAAAATGGCCGAAAAAGGCTGCGAAATTCAACATGGCCAACTTTGAAGGCACACCACGGACACAACCTTTAATGTACGTGCACAAATAGCATAACTTTTAATCAGCACCATTTTTTGACTGTACTCACAAATTTTAAAGTAGATCTGATAAATTCCCTTGTAATTCAAATACAAGGCAAAAAGTTCGCCAAAAGTGAAAATGAAAAGCAAAATGGCCGACTTCCCGTGGGTATGGGTCCAAGAGGCTTTTTTTTTGTAGGTCTCGGCACGTTGCACGTGCTTACCGAGTTTCGTACATATCGGTGAAACGTGGGCGCCGGGGCTGCTTTTTTTTATCCTGTAGGGGGCGCTACAAACACGACAAACACGATTTTTGGTATGTGAGCTTCAGGCACCACTCTACACAACTATTACGGTCTCCGCACAGTGATTTACCATGCCACCAGAGCAATTTTCAATTCAATTCAATTTTATTTGTATAGCGCCAATTCATAACAGAAGTTATCTCAGGACACTTTTCAAATAGAGCAGGTCTAGACCGAACTCTTTAACATTAATTACAGAGACCCAACAGTACCACCATGAGCAAGACCTTGGAGACAAGGGCAAGGAAAAACTGCCTGTTAAAAGGCAGAAACCTAGGACAGATCCTCCGGCTCTAGGTGGGTGGTCGTCTGTCTCGACCAGTTGGGGTGAGAGAGAGAGACAGATAGACAGACAGACAGGTGCACAGCAACAACAGTATTGGCAATGGCAATCTAGCAGGACCATGGCAGGAGGCTCCACCAGGATCGATAAGAACGTGCGAGACGAGAAAGCACAAGAACTCCGGGGAAGAAGTGGAGTTAGTAACATGCATTAATGGGACATGAATGAGTGCAGAAAGAGAGAGGAAGAGAGGAGCTCAGTGCACCATGGGAAATCCCCCGATAGTCTAGGCCTATAGCAGCATAACTAAGGGATGGTTCAGGACTCACCTGATCCAGCCCTAACTATAAGCTTTATCAAAGAGGAATGTCTTAAGCCTACTCTTGAATGTGGTGAGGGTGTCTGCCTCCCGAACCACAACTGGAAGCTGGTTCCACAGGAGAGGAGCTTGGTAACTGAAGGCTCTGGCTCCTGTTCTACTTTTAGAGACTATAGGAACCACAAGTAGCCCAGCATTCAGAGAACGCAGTGTTCTAGAGGGGTAATAGGGTACTATGAGCTCTTTAAGATATGAAGGGGCCTGACCATGAAGAGCTTTATAGGTGAGGAGGAGGATTTTAAATTCTATTCTACATTTTACAGGGAGCCAATGCAGAGAAGCTAGTACAGGAGAGATGTGATCTCTTTTTCTAGTTCCTGTCAGTACTCGTGTTGCAGCGTTCAAATAAACTATTGTTATTTAGAAAGTCACACAACTCTTTGGCGACTACTTTCTCCAGAATCTTAGAGAGGAAGGGGAGGTTAGAAATCGGTCTATAGTTGGCTAAAACCCCTGGGTCAAGAGTAGACTTTTTAAGAAGGGGTTTAATTACAGCTACTTTAAAGGACTGTGGTACATATCCTGATAATAAAGAAAGATTAATCATATCCAGTAAAGAAGTGCCAATTAAGGGAACAACTTCTTTAAGCAGCCTAGTTGGGATCGGGTCTAACAGACAGGTTGATGGCTTCGATGAAGAAATGATTGAAGTTAACTGATGAAGATCGATAGCAGAAAAACAGTCTAAATATATATCTAAGTTTACATTGACAGACGTCCCTGAACTTGGAGAGCCACTGATAACTGTTGATGGCAGTTAGTGATTAATTTTCTCTCTAATAGTAATAATTTTATTATAGAAGAAGCTCATGAAGTCGTTGCTACTTAAGTTTATGGGGATATGTGGCTCAATAGAGCTGTGACTCTCTGTCAGCCTGGCTACAGTGCTGAAGAGGAACCTAGGGTTATTCTTATTTTCTTCTATTAGTGCTGAGTAATAGGCTCCTCTGGCATTACGGAGGGCCTTTCTATAAGTTTTAAGATTATCTTGCCAATTTGAGCGATATTCTGATAATTTGGAAGAGTGCCATTTCCTTTCAGATTTCCTAGCTATTTGTTTTAACTGGCGGGTTTGGTGGTTGTACCAAGGTGCTAGTCTCCTATGTTTTAATAATTTCCTTTTTATAGGAGCGATAGAGTCTAATGTTGATCGTAGTGAGCCTGTAGCACTATCGACAAGATTATCAATTTCAGAGGGACTAAAGTCGTTATAGGACTCTGTTAAATTCAGACATGGCATTGAATTAAACACTGAAGGAATCTCCTCCTTAAATTTAGCTACAGCACTGTCAGATAGACATCTGCTGTAGGAAGTTTTGCCTAATGGCTTATAATCTAATAGTATGAATTCAAAAGTTATTAAATAATGGTCAGATAGGAAAGGATTATGTGGGAAGACTATTAAATGTTCAATATCAATGCCATATGATAGAACAAGGTCAAGAGTGTGATTAAAACAATGAGTTGGTTTATTTACACTCTGACAGAAGCCAATTGAGTCTATTAATGATATAAATGCGTTACTAAGGCTGTCATTGTCAACATCCACATGAATATTAAAATCACCTACAATAATTACTTTATCTGATTTAAGGACTAAACTTGATAAAAACTCTGAGAATTCAGATATAAAATCAGAGTACAGTCCAGGAGCACGGTACACTATAACAAATAGAACTGGCTGCAGTGTTTTCCAGTTTGGGTGAGAAAGACTAAGAACAAGGCTTTCAAATGAATTATAATTTAGTTTAGGTTTAGGGTCCATTAAAACGCTCGAATCATATATGGCTGCCACTCCACCTCCTCGGCCTGTGCCTCGAGGAATGTGAGTATTAATATGACTGGGGGTGGTGGATTCATTTAGGCTAACATACTCCTCGTGGGACAACCAGGTTAGGGGTTAGGGCTAGGCAAGCATCCTACCAAGTTTCATTTAAATCATGTGCCGTTGCAGAAATATAAACTTCTTCATTTTAAAGAGCGCCCCCTAGTGGTGATGGCCTGAAATTGTGCACATTGTCTAAGGAAGACATGAGGAACTATGGATCCAAGCTTGGTATCAATCGGACATACAAATGTCTTGAAATGGTCCATTTCCTTTTTTGACGAAAAATCTACAGGAAGTGTTAATTTTATAGTGTGCTTATTTTTTGAAATTTCAAAAATGTTCAAATTACCTTTTTTGCCAGGGCGGTCCCCAGGTGTTGGTGAAACATTTTGTGAATCGGACATAGGGTGTAGGAGAAACACGAAAAAGTAGTTAAAGGACATTTCGTGCTCTAACGAAAAAAATTATAGACGGAAGTGGGCGGGGCCTATATGGGGAGATTCAGCTCCATTCACCGAACACGTGGATACAAGGTTTTTGAAACAATAGGGACCTCCAGCGGTCGCTGGCTCGGTCCCTAATAATGCAATTAGACTTTAATGTGGCCCAGACAGTTCAGTCTGCTCATCTAATAATTACTTATTAACTGACTACTGTAGTAAGGCTCAGATAATGTTTACATCCGAGGTCAGAGATAGTAGATAGTAACAATAATTATATTATTAATATTGACTTTATTTAATAAGTTTTAATAAAGTCCAATAATTTGGCACTAATTGTTGACGATTAATAAAGATTTGATTTAATCGCTTTTGACAATAATACCTAAGTTACAGAGGGTGATGCTGTAGATACAGGGTGGCAATCCATGCTATAGATACAGGACAGATATTGATGCTACTGATACAGGGCAGCTTTCAGTGCTATAGATACAGGGCAGAGGTCTGTACTGTCTCTTAACAGTCACATCCATTCCAGCCTTAAAAACATTCCACTATTTAATTTTTGCTTCTCCTGGCACATATTTTATCGAATCTTCATCAAAATACTTAAAGAACTTATTTTATTTTAACTCGTCCTCATTATCTGCGCACACATTCTCCGGCTTCCACATCAACCTCTGAATGAAACTGTAAACGCTGCTTTCGGTGGCCTCCATGTTTACTTCGGTTGACAGCATACTGTGTGTGACGCTGTACGAGGTGTTATTGTTTTTTTTGTGTGTGAGTTCGGGGTCGTGATCTGTCCACGCTGGAATCTGATACTGACCACATTTAAATAATAATGTAACAGCCAAACAAATCAGTGATGGTTCCTTAAAGCAACATTATGTAACTTTTCTACCTAAAATTGTGATGCTCCACTGACTTGTAGTGTCAGGTGAACGGCACCAAAGAGGATGTTGATGAAGGGAACAAAAAAAGAAAACGAGTGAATGGGTACTGGCTTTTAGTGGTTGGCTAACTAAAACTTGGTGAAATAAAAGGCTTCAGACAGCAGCAATCTAAATAAGGCAGAATTGAGGTGAATGACAAACTTGTGTTATAGAAGAGAAACTGAGTATAAGATGACACCGAATGCATCAACACAACTGGTAAACTTTACATTAACAGGCCTGTCTCACCAGGACACAAGGAGTATCAGGTTCTTCGTGGTACTGGGTGATCCTCTGCTCTCTGGTCTCCTGCACAAGAACAAAAATAACCCATCATCATGACAACAAGACACAAACAGCCCCAGATGTTTTCTCAAAAGCCCCGACTCTTTAAGGCTTTTTTAAAAAACTTCTAATTTCTCCTCAGTTTCTCTGACTAGAGCCAGTCCACTAATTTGAAACTAATTGTCTTTCAGAGACGATAAAGATTTGATTGAGTCAATTTGACAATAAAACAGTACGGAGGGTGGTGCTGTAGATACAGGGCAGATGTTGGTGCTATAGATATCATACTCCAGCAAAAACAGGTTGTAAGAGTAGTAATCCTGTTCACACCAAATTCCTACCCTACCTATGTTATATAACTTTAAACTAATAACAGACAATTTTTGCCTTTTTTTTTTAGGTGGCAGGAGTTAAAATTTGTCATCAACATTTATTGTGGTTTCAGAAAGATGAAGACAGTTGGAGAACAAACAGACACACAACAGGATGAAGGCTGTTTTACTCAACAACTATCACGTTTCACAAATGCAGATTTTTAGCCATTTAATTATTATAATAATATGTACAGAAATAACCAACAATGACCACAAGGGGAGCCCTCCTACACAGCAAGCTGGGAAACATAAAAGGCAAAAAAAACACGTGTTTTAATCAATCAGTTGCTATTTTGATAATCGATTAATCAGTTCAGTTATTTTTAACTTTCGTCTTTGGATCCAGTTTCAGTAAAAACAATAATTGACAGATTAATCAATAATGAGAATAATTATTGGCTCATGATTACATCCTAATTTAGTAATTACTGAGATAATTTAATGTGCAGAGATGATTTTAAACATAGCAACGCTCAGATATTTGAGTCAATCAGCAGCAGGGGATTATGGGATGGCTGATTTGGTTGCCATTCACATAATATATTCAAACTGTTCATCACTTCTAACATGACCTCCGTCAAACAAACTGTACCTCAGTCTGCTGATGCTGCGTTTCTTTCTGTTAACCACAGCAGTTTGTAGACGTTGCATAACTTCCTCCCACAGGACAGAAACATCGATGACCAGTTAGAACCTGCAGCCTCACAGCTCGTCACATAAACCTCACAACAACACGGCCTGCTGCAGTTCTGCTGCCTTTTCTTGGGTAGTTCAAGTACTTTACAGATAGTGATATTAAGTTTAAAACAAATCACCACCGTCAGTCACACGAGCAGCTTTTATTTGACCTGAGGGTAAAAAGGTCTGTGAGGGCGGTAACTGATAGGGCGAGTAATCGACCAATCAGTGCGAAATGAATTATCCCTTTCATTGTCATCCATCAGCCGGTCGAACAAAGACTACAGTGTTTACAACATCCTTATCTATACAGCAAAGTTTCTATTGTATAAACAGACCTTAAAGGTACAAACAGGCTCAGTGTGATACTGAAGCCTCTATATGACCATCAGAAAGAAGACTGGATATTTCTTAACAGTTATTAATGTCTGCCACCCATCAATAGAGCCAGCTGGTAGAAACACTGTTTGGCACCAACACAGAATGAAAGCTCCTTGTAGAGACTTCAGGTTATACATCAGTTGTTTGCTGCTATATTCATGTTTTCAATCACATAAAAGTACAAGTATCAGTACTAAAGTATTCTCAGTGAAATGTACTAGGATCTCTTTGGTGGACCTGATGGCTCAGAGACTAATTAATGATGCAGCGAATCTAATGAGCTAATCAATTCTTTATGTTCAGTCTCACTCTGAAACATATAGAAACCCATTTCCACCAGAAACAATTTAAAAAAAAAAGATGATGATGATTTATTTTTTTAAAATTCTGAGATTAAAAATCTAAACGATCAGATAAAATATAGATTTTTCTTTTCAAGGCCAAGTTTATATTTTATTTTACTGGGAGAAAAAGGCTTCCATAGAAAAGTAACCAGTAACTCCAGCTAAAATAAAGCTAATATATATAACCCCCGTTGCTCTTATATATATTAATGTATATTAAGCAGAGGTGTGTGACTGACCCCCATGTGGCGGCTGTTGGGGTTGGGGTCCAGGTAGTGCGGGTTGATGTTGAAGGGGACGAGGCCGATGGCGGAGAAGGACGGAGGGTAGACGATGGGCATGTCGTTGGTGGTGTTGATGCTGATGGTGGACACGTTGGTGCCGGCACTGGAGCCCATGTAGGGGACGCCGTCCTGGGGGAGACGTAAGGGGAGAATGGAGGACGGATGTCCAGTAAGCAAAGATCACTGTTGAAGTGTAAAAGCGGATGAAAACCTAAAAGGAAACACATTAACAGGTGGACAGGAACTTAAAGGTTATCCACCTATCAGCACTAACAATGTGGCCCTTGTCAAAGTCACTCAGATCCTTACACGACTTTGACAAGGGCCACATTGTGACGGTTAGACAACTGGGTCTGTTCCCGGTCTGCAGTGGTCAGTACCTATCAGAGGTTGGAGAACAACGAGTTCAAGGTGTTGCCTCCAGATCCCCCAGATCTCAATCCAATTAAGTGTCTGTGGGACAAACAAGTCTGATCTATTGTTGTTGTTGTTGTTGTTTTACGTATATATTTACGTATATTTGATCTTTGTTTGGATAAGTGTGTGACTTATGGTTGAGGTAATATATATTGATCGGGCTCACCTCCAGCACTCTCCTCCTGATCTCTGACACCACCTTGTTGTCATAGAGACTCTTCAGCAGTCGGAAAGTGTTTCCTCCTCCTGCAAACAGAAAGAGAAATATCAGTGTCCCTGCCATAAACTTCTTTATAAAGAGACTGTACTGAGTATGAAGGGTTAGTTTTGCACAGAATATAATAAACCAGCAGTCATTGATCAAAGAAACTGGAAGCTGAGCATCAGAATCTGTGCAGATACAAACAGGAAGTGGTTGCTCTTTCAGTGTAAAGTGCACAACAACGTCTCTAACAGGTGGGTTGTTCAGTTAAAGTTCTTAAAACGTCCAAATGGAAACAGAGGTTTGGTGCACGGCTGGCACTGTGGGACTGCACGGGGCCCAAAGAAAACCAGATTCCCAAAATATTTAGGGCCCAGTTTCAGTATTGTCCCATCATGCACTGCAGGGACACTTTAATCATCTTCTGGGGCCAAAACTATTTCACAATAATCAATAATAGTAGTAAATAATATGTTTAGTGTTTGAATTCTTTTTTATCTCTGTTACAGTGGAAAACCTGTGAACCTGTGTCGGCCTCTGTTAGTAGACTTATTATTATTATTATTATTATTATTATTATTATTATTACAGTTTACTGTCTCAGTCTCAACATTGTTTCTGTTATTTGTATAAAAGCAGTGATTTGTGTCTGAAATAAGAAAGAAAGAAGTTCTATGGAGGAACTGATGAGCTGCTCTACATTCAGTTTGAGTCTGAGGGGATTTGAACCATCAACTCGGCTGCCTTGCTCTGCTGCTCCTCACCTATAAAAATGGCCTCAGCCTTCCGGACGGCGCCGACGGGGTCCGGGGCCTCGTGGATGCCGTCCACCTCGTAACCTGCAGGGTTACAAACACATTCTTAATGTTTAACATTGTTGAAACTAATTAAATGTAACAACTGCAATTACAATATGTTAAACTCCAGAAAAGAAAAGAAAAGAAACAGAAGGAAACAAAGAAACTGGGGAAGACGATAATAAACTATAGAGCCGAGTTATATGGGTCTTACAGGACCTACCCAGAGTCTGGAACTTGTCCCTGGCAGTCTTGGTGTAGGCGTCTCTGTCATGGAGAGCGTAAGGAACAAACAGCACCCTCTTCACGTCCCTGAAAGCATGTGCAGAGACACCTGGACAGGTGAGGGCTGTGAACCACTCAAACATTTTAAATAAAGTTATTATTGTTGTTTATGGTTTGGATCACAACCAGAAATCTCAAACCTTCAAACTAATTACCTTAAACACATTGTTATTAGAGAGTTCTCTCCACACCAAACTCCATTGAGAAATCTGGCATTTTAATGAGCCTTTAGCCTTTTTTACCAACCTTGGACCACGTGACTTCAGACTTTGAAGATTATTGTTTTCAGTCAAGTTATTAATCATAAACTGCTGCTTGGAGCCGAACTTTACTCCTCGACTGCTGATTCACTGAGGATTCCCAAACACGTTCACAGAGACATTTATGTTTGCTGACGCTTTTGTAAATGTTAAATTGGAGGATTTTTAAAGAGAGTTCGCACCGGAGAGAAGCTTTAACTCCCTTTTCTGTTCTGAACTAAACTTACTTTCCAAAGAAGTGTGAGATGTTCTGCTGACAGTGGTCCAGGTAGCCGCCGCCGTGCAGGGTGGAGTTGGACACCAGCAGGAGTCTCCTCTTCATCTCTGGGTAAAGACACAAACTCAGCTCAGGTCGAGAAACTGAAGACAACCTGCAGAGGTCTGAGTGCTGCAGAGGTCTGAGTGCTGCAGAGGTCTGAGGGCTGCAGAGTCCAGGTCCAGGTCCACAGTTCGGCTGTGAAACCGCTGACAGCAGCTCTCTGGCGGGCTGTAAAAGCAGCTGATAACAGCTGGACCCGCCAGTGGCTCCACCCTCCACCAGACTCCGGCTTTATTTCTGCCCTAAAACCTTCATCGACCGAAACTAAAACTTTACACAAAGTTCACTTATATTTAGATTTTTTCCCACCAGGATAAACAACACTAGTACTTCCGGCTCAAGTCTTTCACAATAAAAGGGTTAAATCCCTAGAGAAAGTAATACATTTGGACAATTACTGATTACACAGATTTCAACACATGTCAAATTCTTCCATTAAACTTTATTCATCAGAACTAAAAAATAAGTAAATAAAAAATAAAAACTGCACTTAAACATGCAGAAAATACAAAACAAAGATAAAGAATAAAAACCTTAAAGAAACACAGAGAATACATGAACAAATAAATAAATAAATAAAAAGAAAATAGCTGGAAAAATACAATGGACAATAAAGATAATAACTATAAATTATAAATCCGTGTATCATTCGTTCTTTTCATATTCAATTGAGATTCCAAAATCGAAAAAACGGTTTGTTATTTCCTTATTAGTATATTATATATATATATATATATATATATATAATATATATCTAATATATCTGATACCAAAAAACAAATAACGGTTCATTTTTTATACTTTCAAATTAATGGTCAGATCAAAAATAGGAAATGAAATAATATAAAGAGAATTATATTCTCTTTATATTGATTATTTGTTTATATTCTCTTTATATTGATTATATTAATATTGTTGGTGTTCGGTCCGTGTATGTTTTGGTCATTGGATTTTCCTTTCAGAAACGGGGATTAAAAACAGAAAACGAGTGGTTATTTGATTTTCGTTTTAAAATACAAAAATGAAAATTGAAATACAAGGCGTTTTTCTTTTTCATGGTCAGAAAGGGATGAGCGAAATTAAAAAAATGATTCGATTTTCATTTTCTATTTCATATAACAAAAAATAAAATCACTAGAAAACAGAAACAGAAAAAAGGCCTGTTGTTTCATATTCTGAGACCGGATGTTGTCATTTACAGGACGGTGCTGTGGAGAAGAAACAGTAGGCTAGTAGACTGCGGTCAATCCAGCCGTGAGTCCGATCTCCGTGGTCAAATCAGCCGCACTTAAATTCAGAGTGTACAAGTATTCTCAGCATTATGGTAAATGCGGAGAAACGCCATATTTACTTCCGGTTTCCAAAATAAAGGTATTTAGAACAGTAAGCTAGAATTCGAACCTACATTTAAAATAAAATATGTTACATGTGTTATGTGCCCCTGATGAATAAAAAACACTTTATATCAAGTATCTTTACTGCACCAGTGTGGAGAAATGCCAAAATAAAAGCCTCATATTTATGCCTCCAGAGATTGCATATTTGACCATATTTGAGGTACTGTAAAAACATATTGCTCAGTGTTTCCTGGCTACTGATGGTATATTTGACTTTTACACATATGAGACTACAAACATACTTAACATCAAGCATTTTTATTGTACCAATTTGGAGAAATTCAACAATAAAAGTCCATATTTGTACCTCCATGTGGCATATTTTCATATATTTGAGCTACTGTAAAAACACTTTGCTCAATAATTCCTGGCTATGGATGATATATTTGACTTCTACACATCTAAGACTACAAGTATACTTAATATCAAGCATTTTTACTGCACCAATGTGGAGAAATTGAAGAATAAAAGTCCCATATTTATACTTCCAGATTCCATATTTTCTTATATTTGAGCTACTGTAAAAATGTAAACTGTATGCGGAACCACCTGCAACAGCTGTCACACTGAATAATATAAAAAATAATATGTGAGGAAGAGACAGAAGGTACAATGGTGTTTTGAAGTTAAAACTAATTCTTTTTCCCTTTTACCTACAAATGGACACAGCAGAGCTGCAAAATAAGAAGAATGTGGACTGGCATTGCATTTTGTGTGAAAAGTAAACAAATTAGAATTGTGTATTATTTAGTGTTTAGTGTTTAGTGTTTATATTATCAAGATGTTATTAAACATTTGTGTAAAATTTTGTCACGATTACTGCAGCATTATTGAAGTATAATGAAAATGCTTCACCCATAGCCTTATCGATCCTGGTGGAGCCTCCTGCCATGGTCCTGCTAGACTGCCATTGCCAATACTGTTGTTGCTGTGCACCTGTCTGTCTGTCTGTCTGTCTCTCTCTCTCTCTCTCTCTCTCTCTCTCTCTCTCACCCCAACTGGTCGAGACAGACGACCACCCACCTAGAGCCGGAGGATCTGTCCTAGGTTTCTGCCTTTTAACAGGCAGTGTTTCCTTGCCCTTGTCTCCAAGGTCTTGCTCATGGTGGTACTGTTGGGTCTCTGTAATTAATGTTATAAAGAGTTCGGTCTAGACCTGCTCTATTTGAAAAGTGTCCTGAGATAACTTCTGTTTTGAATTGGCGCTATACAAATAAAATAAAATTAAATTGAATTGAATTGAAATATTGAGCAATATGTTTTTACAGTAGCTCAAAAATATAAGAAAATATGGAATCTGGAAGTATAAATATGGGACTTTTATTCTTAAATTTCTCCACATTGGTACAGTAAAAATGCTTGATATTAAGTATACTTGTAGTCTTAGATGTGTAGAAGTCAAATATACCATCAGTAGCCAGGAATTATTGAGCAAAGTGTTTTTACCTCAAATATGGTCAAATATGCAATCTCTGGAGGCATAAATATGAGACTTTTATTTTGGCATTTCTCCACACTGGTGCAGTAAAGATACTTGATATAAAGTGTTTTTTATTCATCAGGGGCGCATGAAACACTTTAATGTAACATATTTTAATTATAGCTTACTGTTCTAAATACCTTTATTTTGAAAACCGGAAGTAAATATGGCGTTTCTCCGCATTTACCATAATGCTGAGAATACTTGTACACTCTGAATTTAAGTGCGGCTGATTTGACCACGGAGATCGGACTCACGGCTGGATTGACCGCAGTCTACTAGCCTACTGTTTCTTCTCCACAGCACCGTCCTGTAAATGACAACATCCGGTCTCAGAATATATAAAACAGGTCTTTTTTCTGTTTCTGTTTTCTAGTGATTTTATTTTTTGTTATATGAAATAGAAAATGGAAATCGAATCATTTTTTTAATTTCGCTCATCCCTTTCTGACCATGAAAAAGAAAAACGCCTTGTATTTCAATTTTCATTTTTGTATTTTAAAAGGAAAATCAAATAACCACTCGTTTTCTGTTTTTAATCCCCGTTTCTGAAAGGAACATCCAATGACCAAAACATACACGGACCGGGTCCAGTCATTGGATTGGAGTTCCAGTATGTGTCCACCGGGGGGCAGCAGAACCTCTCCCAGTGGGACCATCAGTGTTTAAAGGTTCTGACCCACAGGAACCATCAAACACTGACGGTTGAACAACGACAGACGAGCATTGATGATTTGAATTATATTTTCAGTGTTTCTGTTAAATTCCACTCGTTCAGTCATTTTGAGGTTTTGGACTAAAAGCTGGACAACAGGAAATGATCAGCTTTATTATTGTGTCCAAATAATCGAATCAATATAAATAATATATGATTATAATATATATGATTATATAATCATATATAATACATATGATTAGATTATATTATAATTATAATCTAATCATATATAATCTATATCATATAATAATATATATTATATATGATTATTTAATTTGATAGATGATTAGATTATAAATATAATCTAATCATTTATAATATATATGATATAATCATATATATTATAGATGATTATATAATATATATTAATCATCTATAATATATATGATATAATCATATATATTATAGATGATTATATAATATATATTAATCATTTATAATATATATGATATAATCATATATATTATAGATGATCATATATATTATATTCCAGTCCTCATGCCGTCCTCAGACATAAATTGTGTCTTTAACTTCTTGTTGTGTCACTGTGTTCGACGTTACAAACAAAAGAGGACCAGCTTTTCTGGCGCTGTAGCTTAGTTGGTTGAAGTGCCTGTCTAGTAAACATGAGATCGTGGGTTCAAATCCCAGCAGTGCCTGCTTTCAGCTTCTTACTCAGTGGTTCCAGTGGTTCCAGTCCTCATGCCGTCCTCGAGCCAAGAAGCAGAGCAGACAGGAAGTAGAGCAGTCATCAAACTTTAAAAAAAAAATGTTAAGCTTTATTGAAAAAGTACAAAAATAAACAATTCTGGCACTTTTCCTAGTACATACACTTCACAAGTGTAAAGAGAATGCCAGGTGAACATCATCCAACATTAGTGCAAGCCAACTCACAATAACAACATACACATTAGTGCTTCAATACAATACATTCTGAGCAACTGAGATAAAATGAAAATAAACATCTCAAAATAAATAGTCAAAAATAAAATATATATAAAATAGAATAAACATTGATTTCATAAGGGGGATTCAAATCAGTTTTAACTATCCATTTCAGTGAGAAAGTTCTTTAAGTTATGATATAATGTTTGTGCCTTCATTTCTGTTAGAGGTTTTAGAGATTTCATGTACAATTTAAATTCATTCATGAAGACAATACATTTGGGTGATGACTTCATAACTCTATTCTTGTGGATGAAAACTTTGGCTAGACAAAGGATTACATTGCAACAGAGATCATACCGAAAGTGACATCATCTCTAGAGATAGCAGCTGGAAATAAAACTAGTTTCTGTTTGATCCAATTGTGAATGTTAACCCAGAATGTTTGTATTATATCACATGAGAAGAAGATATGGTCCGCGGTTTCAATGTCATTTTCACAGAATGTGCATAAACTGTCAGCGATATTAAAGCGTAGTCTAAGTAATTCTTTAGAAGGATAAATGTTGTTCATCATTTTAAAGTGTGTTTCTTTGGTTTTGGGGGGTATAGGACATTTTAGGTACATTGTTCTTAGTTTATCAATTGATTTATTATCAGATTTATGTAGGATATTATTTTTGTTTTGTCTACCAGGGAACAATGTTTCAGTGAGGCAGTTTCTTATTAAATGATTGTTACATTTTTTGTCCAGGATTAAAATCCCCTGTATTGACAATGGGCCCAGTTGTCGTATTATAGGTTGGTGGGCCAATATATTTTTTGTTAGAAATATAAATCCATGAGGAAGTGCTTTTTGTAATTTAATAAAGTCTGATTTGGAAGGGTTGAATTTATGTTTAGTGCAAACCATATATTCCTCTCATACCAATCCTGATAATATAATGATTTATTTCAGTATAAAACATATCTATTATTCCAAAGCATAGTAGTGTGAGGTGAAAAGTTATGCACATATAGCATTTTCCAATATAATAGAATTTGTTTATGAAACTCTGACAATGGTATAGGTCATTTATCGATGTTGAAGTCTGCCATAAGAAGACATTTTAAACCTCCAATCTTATTGAATAGGGAATTTGGGACACAGTACCAAAATGAGTTACTATGTTTGAGCCAAGATTTCAGCCAATTAATTTTTAAGGTTCCATTGAGGCAATCAAAATCAATAACTTTTAAACCACCATCTTTAATTTCTTTAACCATATTGCTTTTTCATATAGTGTGGCTTGTTTCTCCAAATAAAATTCAGATTAATTTGGTTAATAGATTTGATTAGTTTTTTTGAAATGGCATTAGAGTAGGCTGGGTAAATGCACCTTGATAAACATTCCATCTTGGTTAGGTAAATTCGGCCACGTATTGAGAGGTCTCTTTGGAGCCATAAATTTAATTTGGCTTTACTCTCTTTTATTTTTTTTTTCTACATTCAAGTATTGACTTTGTTTTTGGTCTTTTGTTAGGTGTACTCCAAGGTATTTAATTTCTGACTTGATGTTACAGATGTCTTTGAGAGTTGTTTCATGAATTGTAAATAGTTCACATTTGTTTAAGTTCAGAGTTAACCCTGAAGCTTTGGAGAATTCTTTTATTTTTTCAATTGTTATTGGAATTTGGTGTCTGACTTGTACAAAAAGTGTTGTGTCATCCGCAAGTTGGCTGATGACAATATCGGTACCTAAGACATTTACATTTTCTATTTCATTACAATGTTTAATGTAAATTGCTAACATTTCTGTGACTAATATGAATAAATATGGTGAGATGGGACAACCTTGTGGAATTCCCACATTAACATTAAAACTGGGGGTGGTGCCACAAGGTAGCATGACACAGCTGTTGATATTCTGATATAATCCACCAACTAAATTCCTAAATTGGACTCCAAAACCTAAATGTTCAAGAACTTGGAAGATAAATGGGTGCTCTACGGAATCGAACGCTTTATAGAAATCTAAAAAGAAAAGAAAACCATCATGTTCAATTTGATTTCTATATTCAATAATGTCCATTACCAGCCTTATATTATTGTGGATTGATGTTCCCTTTAAGAAACCAGATTGTGACGAGTGGTGAAAATGTAGGTGAGTAATTTATAATCAGGGTTTCTAAGAGTAATAGGCCTTCTGTTTTCTATGAATCTGGGGTCTTTGCCGAGCTTAGGAATTGAGATGATGAGCCCATGTCTCATTGTGGGTGGAAGTATACAAGATTTAAATATTTCCAGGAATACTTGATGTAGCAGTTTTTTAATATCTTCCCAGAAATGTCGATAAAAGTCTCCTGTGAGTCGGTCCGAGCCCGGTGCCTTGTTAAGAGATAGGCGGCCAATTACTCTGTCCATTTCAGTAATTGTTATTTGACTATCACATGTTTGTTTAAAGTTATCTTCAACTTTAGGAATATATTTTTCTATATCCTTTAAGAATGTATGGCAGTCTTCATTAGAGAATTTAGAGCTGTAAAGCTGTTTATAGAATTTGAAGATTTCTGAGGAGATTCATTTTGTTTCTGTGATTTCTATATTATTTACTATCAAGGAACTGATGTTATTTTTTCCTTGCCTCCTTTTTTCCCCCCTCCTCTATCCATTTAGCTCTCGATCTAATGAAAGCCCCTTGTGCTCTTTGAATATACATTTCATCCAGTTTAGGTTGAAGAGTTAGTATTTTCAGTTTATCGTCTTCAGTAGGGTTGAGTTTATTGCAGTAAACATTTAATTTTATGATAATGTCTAGTTCCTTTTTTTCTAATTCTTTTTTGATTTGTTTACTGAATGAGATGGTAAATTGGCGTATTTTATGTTTAAGAAATTCCCATTTTTTTACAGGCGTTGTTAGTTCTTCCAAGTTTACAATTTCAGTAATTAGTGATTTAATCTTTTGACAGTAATCATCATTTTTAATTCGGCTAGAGTTAAATTTCCAATATTTGTTTGAAGAAGTTCTACTGTTGTTAGGTTTCACATATAGATAGATAACTCTATGATCAGTAAGTGGAGCAGCAGATATATCACAGCTGATATCATAGCATAGCAAGTGGGTTGCAATGAACCAGTGGTCAATTCTGGATTTATAATTGGAGTTGAACCATGAGGATTTAAATATTCCTGGATTGAAATGTCTCCAAGCATCCGTTAAGCTTTGGTCACTGCAGAAGTTTATAAAAGTGTTGTTTGGAAGACTTGCAGAGAATCTAGTAGGAAATTTATCATAAAATCCATCATGGACTAAGTTAAGATCACCACCTGTTATAAAGTTATCAGTTGAGTATGTTGATTTCATATTATCTAATTGTAAGCCAATTTGTTCTAATGGGTTTTTATTTTCAGTGCTCCCGTTGTACCCATAAATATTGATTTAGATGAATTTGAAATCATCAAGGGTTAGTATGAGCATTAGCCAGTGACCATTAACATCTGCCATATGAGAGATAACCTGACTCTGCTGATCTTGAAGTACCATGGCTGAAATAAACTTCGTCTCCCATTGTTTAGACCAGAAAGTGATATCTTCTCTCTTGGAATGCGTTTCTTGTAAAAAAATAAAATAATATTAGTATAAAAAAAAAAGCTTTTTCTTTTGTCATGTCTCTTAGACCTCTTGCATTAACAGACATCAGAGAAATATCATTTTTTTACTGGAACATATGACTCAAAACAAACTAAAATTGAGATGAATGAACTGTTTTAGAAACAAGAATACGGTGTTATTTAAGGATACTAACCCATTATAGTAGCAAAACCTTAAGCATGTCAATTTGCTTATCAAAGCTCACTTGCTTGTAGGATTAAAAATCCTGTTACTTTGATCATGGTGTGACTCTGTCCATTGGTGAAGGCATGGGGGCCTCGGGACATAGTCTTAAGACCTGCCTTCCTTGCTTGTTCAACCTTTGGCCCTACAGCTCTTCGGGCCTCTCTGTCTTCTTTGGTGAGATCTTCTGTGAAGCGGATGTTGAGCTCCTTGCAGACTGAGTGATGTTTGGTAGTACGCCAGAGTTCATCTCTGAAGTGTCTTCCAGTGAACTGCATGATGGTCTGGCGAGGACGGTCGGCGTTATATGGTCCTAGACGATGCACAGAGTCTATGATGAAGTCCATGTTCTCCTTCCAGTGTGGCACAATCTTGTCCTTGATGATCTGACGTGTGTTTTTCTTTTTCTTCATTCAGGCCATTAAATTCCATCTTCTTTTGTATCTTTCCAACTCTGCAGCTCTCCTTTCCAGCTCTGTGTTTTTCTTCTTGAGTTGTTTCACTTTTATGCAGTCACTGAACATTTTTTGATAACAATAACAATAACAACAACAACAACAACAACAATAATAATGCTGGACGTTTTCAACATTCATGTCTGAATTTTTTATTCACAGAACAAAGAGGAACAGAATTATCTGCATTCACACTCGAAAACGTCTCGGATTACTTTTCTCGTTACAATATTTTCCTCAGAAATAACGAAATAAAACCTCATTGTTTCACTTTCTGTCGGTTTTTAACAAAGACAATAAAAACAGGAAGTTGAAGGTCAGATTTGTGTCGTCGCACTGATCAACACCAGAGGACGTGATGACATCATGATGATGTCATGATGAGAGAGGTGAGCACCAGCAGGAACATCTGAGGTAACACACACACACACACACACACACACACACACACACACACACACACACACACACACACACACACACACACACACACACACACACACACACACACACCTCCACAGGAAGTGTTCTGACTTTTCAACATAAAACAATGAACCCAGATTGTTTTTCATTTGTACATCATCATATAAAATAAACAATCTGTTTATCATATTAACATTATAAACCAGTTCTGTCCTTAAAAAACAAACTCATGCTGAAATCACAACATTCATATTTACAACCTGTGCACCATCATTCAAATATCAATAACTCATTATTAATAACCACATTATTATTCATACCTTTCATAATAAAGAGCTGAACTACAACACTGACAGAGGAAGCAGACTGTCTGACCTGGAGCCAGTCTAACCTGGTCTCTGGTCTCTGGTGGTCAGTCTGGTGGAGTCTGGTGGTCAGTCTGGTGGTCAGTCTGGTGGTCTCTGGTGGGGTCTCTGGTGGTCAGTCTGGTGGTCAGTCTGGTGGTCAGTCTGGTGGGGTCTCTGGTGGTCAGTCTGGTGGTCAGTCTGGTGGTCAGTCTGGTGGGGTCTCTGGTGGTCAGTCTGGTGGTCTCTGGTGGTCTCTGGTGGTCTCTGGTGGTCAGTCTGGTGGTCAGTCTGGTGGTCTCTGGTGGTCAGTCTGGTGGTCTCTGGTGGTCAGTCTGGTGGAGTCTGGTGGGGTCTCTGGTGGTCAGTCTGGTGGTCTCTGGTGGTCTCTGGTGGTCAGTCTGGTGGGGTCTCTGGTGGTGAGTCTGGTGGTCAGTCTGGTGGGGTCTGGTGGTCAGTCTGGTGGTCAGTCTGGTGGGGTCTCTGGTGGTCAGTCTGGTGGTCTCTGGTGGTCAGTCTGGTGGTCAGTCTGGTGGTCTCTGGTGGTCAGTCTGGTGGTCTCTGGTGGTCAGTCTGGTGGTCAGTCTGGTGGTCTCTGGTGGTCTCTGGTGGTCAGTCTGGTGGTCAGTCTGGTGGTCTCTGGTGGTCAGTCTGGTGGGGTCTCTGGTGGTCAGTCTGGTGGTCTCTGGTGGTCTCTGGTGGTCAGTCTGGTGGTCTCTGGTAGTCTCTGGTGGTCAGTCTGGTGGTCAGTCTGGTGGTCTCTGGTGGTCAGTCTGGTGGTCAGTCTGGTGGAGTCTGGTGGGGTCTCTGGTGGTCAGTCTGGTGGTCTCTGGTAGTCTCTGGTGGTCAGTCTGGTGGGGTCTCTGGTGGTGAGTCTGGTGGAGTCTGGTGGTCTCTGGTGGTCAGTCTGGTGGAGTCTGGTGGTCTCTGGTGGTCAGTCTGGTGGAGTCTGGTGGTCAGTCTGGTGGGGTCTCTGGTGGTCAGTCTGGTGGTCAGTCTGGTGGGGTCTCTGGTGGTCAGTCTGGTGGTCTCTGGTGGTGAGTCTGGTGGAGTCTGGTGGTCAGTCTGGTGGTGAGTCTGGTGGTCAGTCTGGTGGTCAGTCTGGTGGTGAGTCTGGTGGTGAGTCTGGTGGTCAGTCTGGTGGTGAGTCTGGTGGTCAGTCTGGTGGTCAGTCTGGTGGTCTCTGGTGGTCAGTCTGGTCGTGAGTCTGGTGGTGAGTCTGGTGGTGAGTCTGGTGGTCAGTCTGGTGGTCTCTGGTGGTCAGTCTGGTCGTGAGTCTGGTGGTGAGTCTGGTGGTGAGTCTGGTGGTCAGTCTGGTGGTCTCTGGTGGTCAGTCTGGTGGTCAGTCTGGTGGTCAGTCTGGTGGTCTCTGGTGGTCAGTCTGGTGGTCTCTGGTGGTCAGTCTGGTGGTCAGTCTGGTGGTGAGTCTGGTGGTCAGTCTGGTGGTCAGTCTGGTGGTCAGTCTGGTGGTCAGTCTGGTGGTGAGTCTGGTGGTGAGTCTGGTGGTGAGTCTGGTGGTCAGTCTGGTGGTCAGTCTGGTGGTCAGTCTGGTGGTCTCTGGTGGTCAGTCTGGTGGTCAGTCTGGTGGTCTCTGGTGGTCAGTCTGGTGGTCAGTCTGGTGGTGAGTCTGGTGGTCTCTGGTGGTCAGTCTGGTGGTCAGTCTGGTGGTCAGTCTGGTGGTCTCTGGTGGTCAGTCTGGTGGTCAGTCTGGTGGTCAGTCTGGTGGTCTCTGGTGGTCAGTCTGGTGGTCTCTGGTGGTCAGTCTGGTGGTCAGTCTGGTGGTCAGTCTGGATGCTGATTGTAGATTCTGACGTCTGGTTTATGGTTTGTACGAGACAACAAACCAGTCAGCCTGATGGAGGCCACTTTAAAGGGTCAGAGGTCACATGACATCAGAACATCTGAACTTTAACAGCAGAGAGAAAGGGCTGCTGGGTAACCAGAAAGGGCTGCTGGGTAACGAGAAAGGGCTGTTGGGTAATGAGTGAAGTTTGTTTGAGCAGAAAATAAAACAAAAAACAAGTTTTTGGCCTAAAATCGAAATATAAAATCTTCCCTGAGACGTTTTTTAAATCCGTCAAACATACGGAGCCCCGAAGCCGACAGAAATATTTTATCCATAAATTATTCTGATTATTAATTTTATCTCAAATTAGTTAATAATGCCCATCAAACTATTTATTTTATACTTTTATATTTCATCCCAAAACAACTCGTTTCTTTACAAACTTAAAAAAAAAAAAAATTCTTTTATTCATTCACTGATTTCACGTCCGTGTTGTCAATAAATAAATTAAAGAATCTAAAGTGATATTTTTTTTCAGTTTTGAGGCTCCGTACAATCAGAGGAACCAACGGAGAGTTAATGACATTAAAAGAAACAACAAATAAACAACAATAAACAACATGCTGCAGGGTTCTAATGTTCACATTCAACCTGGAGACACACACTTTGATTTCCTGCTTGATCTGATCACCTATTAGTGTTATTGATCAGCTGATCAGTAACCAGGAGTAACGAGTTTATAAAAACGAGTTCTGATTGTCATTCAAAGAAATAAAGTGAACCAATAGATTTACATTACTGATTAATATCCTCATTATATTATCAATAAATCAATAAATAATTAACTTTAAATGCTTCAGCACTTCCTGTTTATGAGTTTATGACTCCTAGTGTTATGTTGTTGTTGATGTCACAAACAAACAATTAGATCTGTAAAACATGTTCCAGAATAGCTCCACATTAGCCCTTAATGCTAAATGCTTACTAATAATTATCATTAATGCTAAAAAATAACTCATCAGAGCTTTTAGCATTTAATATTTATCTATCTATATTTCACTTTATTTCTTTGATCTGAATGTTTGTCTCAGTTTCTCCTCAGATGTTTGTTGTGTGTTCGGTCTGCCTCTCAGTGTCGATATATCAGTGAATATATTCAACAATAATCAGTATAGATATAACAATGATCAGTATATATTATAGTACAATGACCAGTATGTACAGCAGTGACACTCACATTCAGAAGCTGTTTCTTATTGGCATCAAAAACTACTGAAACAGACTGTTTGTCCTCATTATCGTACAAAAAGTCTTTTATTTTGGAATATAAAACAGGAACTGATGTCACAGGGTGGAGATCTCCGGAGCTCACCCCGCCATATTGTCCTCGCCGGGTCACCTGACCCAGCCGCAGGCCGCCTGAATCAGAGACAGAAATCGCTCACTGAGAGAGTCCCTGCTCTGTCCTGATTGGTCCCGGTCATAGGCTCGACTCTTTAGGCGGGTAGTCCACGTTGGTTACCATGGTGACAACTGTGACGATGTCCTCGGGTGCAGAGACGTTCGTCTGCCGCTGCATCTGAACGACGCGCTCCTCGACGCAGCCGGCCGACAGCCGCGCTTCGGCCTCATGATCCCAGCACTCCTCGATGGTCTCGCAGAGGACCGCCAGACCCTGGACGGGGGTAATAAACAACAGTGTCACTAATAAACAACAGCGTCAATAATAAACAACAGTGTCACTAATAAACAACAGCGTCACTAATAAACAACAGCGTCACTAATAAACAACGGCGTCACTAATAAACAACGGCATCACTAATAAACAACAGCGTCACTAATAAACAACAGCGTCACTAATAAACAACGGCATCAATAATAAACAACGGCATCAATAATAAACAACGGCGTCACTAATAAACAACAGCATCAATAATAAACAACGGCGTCACTAATAAACAACGGCGTCAGTAATAAACAACAGCGTCAGTAATAAACAACAGCGTCGGTAATAAACAACAGCGTCGGTAATAAACAACGGCGTCACTAATAAACAACGGCATCAATAATAAACAACGGCGTCACTAATAAACAACGGCGTCACTAATAAACAACGGCATCAATAATAAACAACGGCGTCACTAATAAACAACAGCGTCGGTAATAAACAACAGCGTCGGTAATAAACAACAGCGTCACTAATAAACAACGGCGTCACTAATAAACAACAGCGTCAGTAATAAACAACGGCGTCAATAATAAACAACGGCGTCACTAATAAACAACGGCGTCAGTAATAAACAACGGCGTCGGTAATAAACAACAGCGTCGGTAATAAACAACAGCGTCAATAATAAACAACAGCGTCACTAATAAACAACAGCGTCGGTAATAAACAACGGCGTCGGTAATAAACAACGGCGTCGGTAATAAACAACGGTGTCGGTAATAGACAACAGCGTCGGTAATAAACAACGGCGTCAATAACAAACAACGGCGTCACTAATAAACAACAGCGTCGGTAATAAACAACGGCGTCACTAATAAACAACAGCGTCGGTAATAAACAACAGCGTCGGTAATAAACAACAGCGTCACTAATAAACAACGGCGTCACTAATAAACAACAGCGTCACTAATAAACAACGGCGTCAATAATAAACAACGGCGTCACTAATAAACAACGGCGTCAGTAATAAACAACGGCGTCAGTAATAAACAACAGCGTCGGTAATAAACAACAGCGTCGGTAATAAACAACAGCGTCAATAATAAACAACAGCGTCGGTAATAAACAACAGCGTCGGTAATAAACAACGGCGTCGGTAATAAACAACGGTGTCGGTAATAGACAACAGCGTCGGTAATAAACAACGGCGTCAATAATAAACAACGGCGTCACTAATAAACAACAGCGTCGGTAATAAACAACAGCGTCGGTAATAAACAACAGCGTCAATAATAAACAACAGCGTCGGTAATAAACAACGGCGTCGGTAATAAACAACGGCGTCGGTAATAAACAACGGCGTCGGTAATAAACAACAGCGTCAATAATAAACAACAGCGTCGGTAATAAACAACAGCGTCGGTAATAAACAACAGCGTCAATAATAAACAACAGCGTCGGTAATAAACAACAGCGTCGGTAATAAACAACAGCGTCAATAATAAACAACAGCGTCAATAATAAACAACAGCGTCAATAATAAACAACAGCGTCGGTAATAAACAACAGCGTCGGTAATAAACAACAGCGTCAATAATAAACAACAGCGTCGGTAATAAACAACAGCGTCGGTAATAAACAACAGCGTCAATAATAAACAACAGCGTCAAAAATAAACAACAGTGTGCATTGTGGGTAATGTAGTAGAGGTGCATTGTGGGTAATGCAGTAAAGGTGCATTGTGGGTAATGTTGCAGAGGTGCATTGTGGGTAATGTTGCAGAGGTGCATTGTGGGTGCATTGTGGGTAATGTAGTAGAGGTGCATTGTGGGTGCATTGTGGGTAATGTAGTAGAGGTGCATTGTGGGTAATGTTGTAGAGGTGCATTATGTATATTATTATAAGCTTCTGCTAGCCGCTAGACTGAGCGAAGGAAGACTAGAACGGCGAAGCCCACAGGTCACCACCAACCGCTTCATGTTTCTAATACATTTTCCCCACTCAGCGACACACCCGCTGAGGAACCAACTCTGGTTATTGGCAGCTCCATAGTCAGAAACGTGAAGTTAGTGAAGCCAGCGGCCATAGTTAAATGTATCCCTGGGGCCAGAGCGGGCGACATTGAATCAAATTTAAAACTGCTGGCTAAAGATAAACGTAAATACAGTAAGATTGTTATCCACGTCGGCGGTAATGACACCCGTTTACGCCAATCGGAGGTCACTAAGATTAATGTGGAGTCTGTGTGTAATTATGCTAAGACAATGTCGGACTCCGTAGTTTTCTGTGGACCCCTGCCCAATGTGACCAGTGATGACATGTATAGCCGCATGTCGTCATTCCACCGCTGGCTGTCGAGGTGGTGTCCAGCAAACGATGTGGGCTTCATTGATAACTGGAAGCCTTTTTGGGGAAAACCTGGTCTGATTAGGAGAGACGGCATCCATCCCACTTTGGATGGAGCGGCTCTCTTATCTAGAAATATGGCGAAGTTTATTTCTGAAACCTGACAGTCCAGAGTTAGGACCAGGAAGCAGAGCTGCTGTCTTACACACTTCTCTGCTCTTTCTTTAGAACAGTCACCCACCCAAAACTCCATAGAGACTGTGTCTGTCCCCCAACCACCTAAATTATTTAAAGAAATAAAAACAAGAGGAGTTCAACATAAAAATCTAATTAAAATTAAAACCAACTCCTCAGTAGCACAAAATAAGAGAATGAAATGTGGACTGTTAAATATCAGGTCTCTGTCCTCTAAAGCTGTTTTAGTGAATGAATTAATATCAGACTATGATATTGATTTACTTTGTCTTACTGAGACCTGGTTGTCCCACGAGGAGTATGTTAGCCTAAATGAATCCACCCCCCCCAGTCATATTAATACTCACATTCCTCGAGGCACTGGCCGAGGAGGTGGAGTGGCAGCCATATATGATTGGAGCGTTTTAATGGACCCTAAACCTAAACTATATTATAATTCATTTGAAAGCCTTGTTCTAAGTCTTTCTCACCCAAACTGGAAAACACTGCAGCCAGTTCTATTTGTTATAGTGTACCGCGCTCCTGGACCGTACTCTGATTTTATATCTGAATTCTCAGAGTTTCTATCAAGTTTAGTCCTTAAATCAGATAAAGTAATTATTGTAGGTGATTTTAATATTCATGTGGATGTTGACAATGACAGCCTTAGTAACGCATTTATATCATTAATAGACTCAATTGGCTTCTGTCAGAGTGTAAATAAACCAACTCATTGTTTTAATCACACTCTTGACCTTGTTCTATCATATGGCATTGATATTGAACATTTAATAGTCTTCCCACATAATCCTTTCCTATCTGACCATTATTTAGTAACTTTTGAATTCATACTATTAGATTATAAGCCATTAGGCAAAACTTCCTACAGCAGATGTCTATCTGACAGTGCTGTAGCTAAATTTAAGGAGGAGATTCCTTCAGTGTTTAATTCAATGCCATGTCTGAATTTAACAGAGTCCTATAACGACTTTAGTCCCTCTGAAATTGATAATCTTGTCGATAGTGCTACAGGCTCACTACGATCAACATTAGACTCTATCGCTCCTATAAAAAGGAAATTATTAAAACATAGGAGACTAGCACCTTGGTATAACCACCAAACCCGCCAGTTAAAACAAATAGTTAGGAAATCTGAAAGGAAATGGCACTCTTCCAAATGATCAGAATATCGCTCAATTTGGCAAGATAATCTTAAAACCTATAGAAAGGCCCTCCGTAATGCCAGAGGAGCCTATTACTCAGCACTAATAGAAGAAAATAAGAATAACCCTAGGTTCCTCTTCAGCACTGTAGCCAGGCTGACAGAGAGTCACAGCTCTATTGAGCCACATATCCCCATAAACTTAAGTAGCAATGACTTCATGAGCTTCTTCTATAATAAAATTATTACTATTAGAGAGAAAATTAATCACCAACTGCCATCAACAGTTATCAGTGGCTCTCCAAGTTCAGGGACTTCTGTCAATGTAAACTTAGATATATATTTGGACTGTTTTTCTGCTATCGATCTTCATCAGTTAACTTCAATCATTTCTACACGTGACCTCTCGCTAGCATCCTCCTTGCAACAGTTTAGCAGTGCATTGTGATGGTAGAGAGAAAATACAAACACCTCCAGTCCCGGAAGCTACCGGTACTTCAGACGATTTAGTGCAGAGACATGGGTCTACCTCTCTGGCATGGAAACGGTTTGGTTTCGAAAAGACTGATAAGGGTCTGTGTCCACCAAACACCTTTTTAGTGCTAGCAGCGCCTATTTTGAATACAAATCCTATGGGCTTCAGCGTTCAGAGCACTAAGCACCTTCAGCGGTAAAAATATATCAGCGGAGACGTTTTTTTAGCGCAGTGCTCAGAGCGCTTCAAGTCGAAATCTGCTCAACTTTTAACACCGCTGGGCGCTCGGAAAATGAGTTTTTGAGCTCTCAGTGCTAGAAACGCGTTTGGTGGACACAAGCCCTAACTCAGACAATTCCAATCACATTTTAAAGGATATCGACTGATTATCGTTATCGCCAAAATCCCAAAAAATAACAAGATATTATTTTTTGCCCATATCGCCCACCCCTACTCTAGATGGCATTACCTTGGCCTCTAGCACCACTGTCAGGAATCTTGGAGTTATCTTTGATCAGGATTTCTCATTTAATTCCCACATAAAGCAGACCTCTAGGACTGCCTTCTTTCATTTACGTAATATTACAAAAATTAGACACATCCTATCACAGACAGATGTAGAAAAACTAATCCATGCATTTGTTACTTCAAGGCTGGATTACTGCAACTCTTTATTATCAGGTTGCCCCAATAAGTCCATTAAAACGCTCCAATTAATTCAGAACGCTGCAGCACGAGTACTGACAGGAACTAGAAAAAGAGATCACATCTCTCCTGTACTAGCTTCTCTGCATTGGCTCCCTGTAAAATGTAGAATAGAATTTAAAATCCTCCTCCTCACCTATAAAGCTCTTCATGGTCAGGCCCCTTCATATCTTAAAGAGCTCATAGTACCCTATTACCCCACTAGAACACTACGTTCTCTGAATGCTGGGCTACTTGTGGTTCCTATAGTCTCTAAAAGTAGAACAGGAGCCAGAGCCTTCAGTTACCAAGCTCCTCTCCTGTGGAACCAGCTTCCAGTTGTGGTTCTGGAGGCAGACACCCTCACCACATTCAAGAGTAGGCTTAAGACATTCCTCTTTGATAAAGCTTATAGTTAGGGCTGGATCAGGTGAGTCCTGAACCATCCCTTAGTTATGCTGCTATAGGCCTAGACTATCGGGGATTTCCCATGATGCACTGAGCTCCTCCCTTCCTCTCTCTTTCTGCACTCATTCATGTTCCATTAATGCATGTTACTAACTTCACTTCTTCCCCGGAGTTCTTGTGCTTTCTCGTCTCGCAGGTTCTTATCGATCCTGGTGGAGCCTCCTGCCATGGTCCTGCTAGATTGCCATTGCCAATACTGTTGTTGCTGTGCACCTGTCTGTCTGTCTGTCTCTCGCTCTCTCTCTCTCTCTCTCTCTCTCTCTCTCTCTCTCTCACCCCAACTGGTCGAGGCAGATGACCACCCACCTAGAGCCGGAGGATCTGTCCTAGGTTTCTGCCTTTTAACAGTCAGTGTTTCCTTGCCCTTGTCTCCAAGGTCTTGCTCATGGTGGTACTGTTGGGTCTCTGTAAATAATGTTATAAAGAGTTCGGTCTAGACCTGCTCTATTTGAAAAGTGTCCTAAGATAACTTCTGTTATGAATTGGCGCTATACAAATAAAACTGAATTGAATTGAATTGAATTAAACTCACAGCGTGTTTCTGCCAGCACTCTCTGAGCGTCGGCCTCAGTTTCTTGTGGACCACCACCTCCTGCATGTCCTCCAGAGACGGATGTTGACCCACCTCCTCTTCAAACGGCAGCATGTACTCGTCCACTGGACCTGGATCAGAGAGAAGGGGGTCAGAGTCCACAACAAACACACTACACCAAAAAGCACGAGTTAGACTGCAGCACAGAGAGACAACGAGACACCAAAAGACACTCAGAAACACACTTCCAGATGGGTCAACGACTGTTATGCACCACATATACGTCTCCAGAGAGGACGAGTGGGGATACGTGGATCCAGATTGGGATCAGAGTGAGGGTCTCTTACCGTCTGCAGCTTTGCAGCGCGCGGCAAGCTCCCACAGAACCAGACCCAGAGCGTACATGTCTATCCTCAGGAAGGCGTCTCTCTGGAAGTTAATGGCCCCCTCCAGGACCTCCGGGGCCATGTACCTCCTGGTCCCCACCTGACACACACACAGTGACACAATCAGGTTTGAAGACCAGTACCCTGTGAGGCAGACCAGACCGGACTGGTGGTTCCAACTGGTCTCACCCTGTCAGCTTTATTTACTCTGTCCCAGAAATATCATCATCACCACGGATACTATAATAGAAGATACTGTATATTATATAATAATACATAAATATTATATATAATATTTCTAAGATGTTATCTCTGTGTGAGCTCATTCAGAGGCCCGAAGCAATCTGTAAGTAATCATGTGACCCACTGGAGGGCTCGTGGCCCTCAAGTTGGACACCAGTGATACTGTCAGAGCTGCAGTTCATCTCACAGCCAGCAGGAGGAGCTGTAACACCACTGAACTGAGTGCTGATAATGTTTGATCAAGGACATAGGAGCAGGTGAGTGAGGAAAAGGACAGATCAATCTTCATCACCACTCAGGTGGACTCACCTGTCCGTGTGTGTCTCCAGGAGATTTTCCCGCCTCAAACCTGAGAGCGAGGCCGAAGTCAGCGATGCAGGCAGTGAGGTTGGACTTCAGCAGGACGTTCTTACTCTTAAAGTCCCTGAAAATCACAGAGAGTGTCCACAACCTTTATTTCATATTTAATATTCCTGATATTAACAACAGGTATCCAACTGTCTGAGTACAGACTGTAGTTACAGCCTGTATCTAATAATCCTCTCTTACTGCTGGAGACAGGTAGGAAACAACAGGTGTGTTTCTATACACAATCTGAGGGCCTCCAGCATCTGACAGGTGTTCAGTACACACACACCTGTTGTCTGTGTGTGTGTGTGTGTGTGTGTATGTGTGTGTGTGTGTGTGTGTGTGTGTGTGTGTGTGTACCTGTGTGCGATGGCCGGTTTGTGTCCGTCCTTGTGTCCAGGTATGTCTTCGTGCAGGTAGGCGAGACCTCGAGACATAGACTGAGCGATGAGACACAGTTCAGACCAGGAAAGGACGTTGGCCTTCAGGTAGTCGGTCAGAGAGCCCTGACAACACAACAAATAAACAAATAAACAAATGCATTACAACACACAGTCTTATTGTTATTGTTTGCATTAGTTACTGACTGTTTATATCCATTGTGTAATTTTGATACTTTAATGAATAATAAACTGTTTGTTAATAAAGATACTGTGATAAATGAATAATAAAAATGATGAGATGATGTGAGTCTGCTGATGAAGACACTTGTGAAGCTGACAGTTTGATATAGTTTAGGTGAATGTGACGGTGCTGCAGTTCTGTGTGCGTCCAGCAGGTGGCAGCACCTTCTCGTGGTAGGAGGTGATGAGCCACAGCTCCACGTCCAGGTTGCTTCCTCTCTTCTCGGCTCCGAGGAACTGCAGCAGGTTCTCGTGTCTCATCCCGCTCAGGTTGAAGATCTCGTACTCGTTCTGCCACGACTGCTTGTCCTGAAAACATAGAGGTCCGAGGTCACAGAGGTCAGGCCTGTGTGATCTACGACCATTGACAGCATATATAATGGACAGTGTCTTAAAACCTACCTACCTACCTACCTACCTATCTATCTATCTACGTACATGACGTGCTACGGTAAGCGTACAGACTCATTCCCGGTTCACTTCCTGCTCTGTGTACACTGTTTGGTGCTGTAGCTCTGTCAGTGAACGCTAAATATACATTAGTTTTACTCTTTACAGCGGTTATTTACCCGCTTAACATTTAAACATAGACTAGTTCTACCTAAACACTCGGAGTTACTCCTTCTTTTAGCGACTTTTCACTACTTTCAAAGTTTTAACACACGCTAGCTTCATTAGCATTAGCAGTTAGCTATGGCTTCTCCCTCTCCCTCTCCTCTGTCCTGCTCAGTGTGTCAGATGTTCAGTTATTCCTCTGCCTCCTTTAAAGATAATGGTACCTGTATTAAATGTAGTTTATTTACTGCGCTGGAGGCGAGGCTTAGTGAGTTAGAGGAACGGTACCGCACCACTGAGATATCTTTAGCCGCTATAGTTAGCCATCCCCCAGTAGCCGGTGCGGTCCGACCGAAGGTAGCTTCTGTTAGCTCTGTAGATCCTCCGGTAGTTCCCGCGGTAGTTCCCCCGGTAGTTCCCAAGCAGCCGGGAAGACAGGGAGGCTGGGTGACTGAGCGAAGGAAGACTAAAACACCGAAGCCCACAGGTCACCACCAACCGCTTCATGTTTCTAATACATTTTCCCCACTCAGCGACACACCCGCTGAGGAACCAACTCTGGTTATTGGCAGCTCCATAGTCAGAAACGTGAAGTTAGTGAAGCCAGCGGCCATAGTTAAATGTATCCCTGGGGCCAGAGCGGGCGACATTGAATCAAATTTAAAACTGCTGGCTAAAGATAAACGTAAATTTAGTAAGATAGTTATCCACGTCGGCGGTAACGACACCCGTTTACGCCAATCGGAGGTCACTAAGATTAATGTGGAGTCGGTGTGTAATTATGCTAAAACTATGCTCTCTCTCTCTCTCTCTCTCTCACTTCTGTTATGAATTGGCGCTATACAAATAAAATTGAATTGAATTGAATTGAATGACTTGGTGCTATACTAATAAAATTGAATTAAATTATCTATCTATCTAAGGCCAGCAGGGGGAGCTCCACTGGCTGCAATATAAACTGATCCCATTCACTCTAATGGAGAATGAGCTCAGTAAACAGTTTCCTGATGAGGTTCTGCTCTCAGTCTCTAGTTTCAGTCTTCTTCCATACAGCATGATGTTCATTTAGTAACTGATGGTAAAATAGACGATAAAGCTCAGAAACTCAGATCAAACAGTGCTCATCAGATATGGATCCAGATTCTGTTACCTGGATGGGGAAGATTTTGACAGCAACGTATTCTCCGAGCAGCTGAGCCTTCCACACGCAGCCGAAGCGCCCCCTGGCTTTGATCTCCAGTAACTGCAGTGGCTTCTGGCCCAGGATGGGGGAGGGGGGCAGGGGTCCGGGGTCCTGGAGGAGACAACGTGGACATACTGTAAGTATATGTGATCAGATCTGACTGTAACTGAGAGGTCTGAATCCATATCACTGGTTCTTTTAGTTTTATGTTTTAAAAACCAAACAGGATAAATAAAGTTTGTTGATTTGTTTGTGTGATAATGTGTTTGTGCTGCTCCTCTCTGGGTGTCTGCAGGGTTTCTCAGGACCAGGTGATGGAGAGGAGGTGACCTGTGCTCTATCGGGGCAGGAAGGGGTTTTATTGGAGCAGATGATTTACGACGAGGAGCTGAGCAACAGGCATTAAACACAGATAAACACAGATACTGCTGCTGACACCTGCTGGTGGCTGGTTGTTGGTTGGTCCATGTGACCTCATCCAACCAACCGTTACTGTAACCAGGAGAAAAAGGCCTCTTGGTCCGTTATTTTCAGGGCAGGAGGGACATATTCAGACCTGATTATATTGTTAGAAATATATATGAAAATATTATTCCAATATTTTTTACTCCACAAATGTGGTTGTGTGATTAATGTTTGTGGTTTAACAGAAGATGAGACAGGGACTTCAGCTGTCTGGAGACTGAACATTAACTCCAAACTTAGTGACAGAGAGTCAACAATGTGTCAATCAGTCCCAGCCTCAGAGGATACTGTACGCAGTAACAGGCTGTAACGACGACTGAATATTAATGATTGATTGATAATGTTACGACTGTCTGTGACAGGGAGTGGGAGGAGCCGGGGATGGAACCGCAAACCTTCTGATTAGTGGACCCGCTCGACCTCCTGAGACACTATGAGACCCCTGTGTGAACTAAATAACCACAGCAGCAGTTCAGACACCAGTAACTGTTTTTAATGTTGGTTTTTCTGGAGCTGAAGGGTTTCTACTGTGTTACTGTTGTTGTCTGTGCGTGTGTGTGTGTGTGTGTGTGTGTGTGTGTGTGTGTGTGTGTGTGTGTGTGTGCAGCTAGCAGCTAAAGAGCATTGTGGGAGATTCAGATAACTGAGAAATAACATGCAGATTTATTTTCCCCATCAACCAATCGACTGATAGAATTTCAGAGGGTTTCTTTGGTGTAACAAATCAACAACCTCCATCAGCCCGACATTGGACCATGTGACCTTGCAGGTTGGACGTAAACACCTTTACTGTTCAACATCAGTCATGCAGAGTCTGTCCATAAACAACAACAACACAGAGCATAAACATAAATAAAAACAACCAGTGCGTTTGCAACAGAAACTTTAGGCTGGAGGACGATAAAGATGCAAAATTAAACCCATAAATGTGATAAATAAATAAATAGATAAATAAATAAATAAGGCGGCGATGAAGCAGTTTGATCTTCTTACCTCGATCATTATATGAAAGGCGTGCTGAGAGGAAACAGTTCAGTTAGACAGACACACAGAGAGACACACTTTACCTTCATGTGAAAACACTGATCCTCATGCACAGTATTATTCAGTGTTTCCCATTAATTACTTAGACTGTGGCGGCTCTCACTCCCAGTCAGTCGGCCCTGCCCCCCCTTGCTGTACGTGGACACACTGGAATAACGTTACCTCACAGCATCCCAGACGTCAAGGCATTTTAGGACACCACATCGTTAGAAAGGTTAACAAACTTTACAGTATCCACTAGTTCAAACACAGTTTTATCCTGATCAATGTACGACAGCAAACAGATAACGTTACTGCAAAAGTTTATTATTGATAATTAACGTTAACGTTTGTTAGCTAGCGATGTTAGCTGTCAGTCTCGATTATGTCGACTGATATATCCGGCTGCTTGCCGTGAAAAAGTATGTAACGTTATATCTAGCTAGCTAACGTTAGCTAATTATCTAACGTTAATGTTATTACCAGAGACGGTTCAGGAAGTATAAATGTATATAGAGAATCTTTGTTATTACCAGGGGCTCTGACAACGTAAGTTAACTTAACGTTTACAAGGCGTCGCGGACGAGAGCCCCGCGAGCCTTGTAACTAACGTATTTTCAGCATCTGAGGAGCAAGTTGCCTCACCATGTAACGTCAGGCTATATATATACAGTTGTGGTCAAAAGTTTACATACACTTGTAAAAAACATAATGTCATCAGGGCTCCAGACTAAGTTTTTGCATTGGTTGCACTGGTGCGTCTTAAATTTTTTTTTTTTTTTTTTTTTTTAGGTGCACCAGCACAAAATGTAGGAGCACCCAAATTTTTCATTGCGTTGCCTTTAACGCCATAAGTTCACCTATTTATCGCTCTCCATAACTTTCATATAATGTGAATGATTTTTAAACAAGAATAAGGTGTTGAGAAAAGCTTGAAGCACAATTATATATAAAAAGAAAAATAAAGTGTTTAAAGTGCTTCACTGAGCTGAAATTGAAACTAAATTTCAAACTAAAACAATAAGCAAAATAAAACATTTCCAAATAAAGTTTCGATACGAAACGTTGTTGACCCGCTCACGAATGCACTATTTCCGGCCATATTCTGACAGCACTCCTGATAGTACACGCAGTGCGTTGCCTTACGTCCTTTGTTGTACCTCAGCCAGGGAAATTTTTTCAGTCAGTCCTGTCTGAAGGAATATATTTTGACCCTTTTAATTTGAGTCTCTATCCCAGTCTCCTCCTCTGCTTCCGAGTCTGATGCTGTCGGCGAAGGACCGGGGCTCGGCAATTTTTAAACACACACAATTTAGCGCGGTGAACAGGACCACAGCCAATCAGAGGCAAAGACCCGACCGAGCTCTGTCTCTTATTGGTTTAGAACACGATATGATCCTACCATGAGTGTGTGAGAGAGATGATGCGCTTGCGAAATAAATTTATGTTTTCACCAAATTGGTCGCACTCTGGAGCCCTGGATGGCCGTCTTGAGTTTCCAATACTTTCTACAACTCTTATTTTCCTGTGATAGAGTGATTGGAACACATACTGCTTTGACACAAAAAACATTCATGAAGGTTGGTTCTTTTATGAATTTATTATGGGTCTAATGAAAATGTGACCAAATCTGCTGGGTCAAAAATATACATACAGCAACTTGAATTATCAATTTTGGTTATGTAGAAAGTTGTGTCAATTAAATTAGCTTCATGGCATGGCCTCTTAACTTCTTGTGAGTGATTATGATTGACTACAGCTGGTGACTTCTCTGAGCCCATTTTAATAGGGCTCATTTGATAATTAGACTCGGCCACAAACGCTACAATGGGAAAGTCAAAGGAGCTCCGCACGGATCTGAAAAAGCGAATCACTGACTTGTCAAGAAAGTCACTTGGAGCCATTTCAAAGCAGCTACAGGTCCCAACAGCAACTGTGCAAACAATTGTTTGTAAGTATAAAGTGCATGGTACAGTTGTGTCACTGCCACCATCAGGAAGAAAACGCAAGCTATCACCTGCTTCTGAGAGAAAATTGGTCAGGATGGTCAAGAGTCAACCGAGAACCACCAAAAAGCAGGTCTGCAATGCATTACAAGCTGCTGGAACACAGGTTTCAGTATCCACAGTCAAGCGTGTTTTACATCGCCATGGACTGAGAGGCTGCCGTGCAAGAAGGAAGCCCTTTCTCCATAAGCGGCACCTTAAGGCTCGACTGAAGTTTGCTGCTGCTCACATGGACAAAGATAAGACCTTCTGGAGGAAAGTTCTGTGGTCAGATGAAACAAGAATTGAGCTGTTTGGCCACAATGCCCAGCAATATGTTTGGAGGAGAAAAGGTGAGGCCTCCGAATCCAATTTATTTTTTATTACAATTTAGCTTACAGTTTAATTATTTATTATTTTATTTGCTAAAAAATTAACTAGTTCAACACCACTTTTGCTTAGTTTCTTTGATGGCTCAGATGTATGCTCAAGTTGATTTTGTGTTTTCACCATTCGTATCTATACAACCAATGTGTTTATGATTAAATTGTTTACAAGAGCACACAGTTCCTCATAGATCTAGCCTCTTAATTTTGCTTCCAAAGTGCACCAGATTGATGCATTTAACTTTAAAATGTAAAAAAAAATCTCCCGGGGGACCATGCCACTGGACCCCCCTAGAGGGTCCAACATCCACCCACCATAGTCTCACAAAATCCTGTGGGAAACACTGTTATTATTATTACTATTATTATCATAATTATCATAATTATCATAATTATTATATTATTATTATTATTATTATTATTATTATTATTTACTGCGTGGTTCTGTTAAAGGTCTGCAGGTCTGGTTCTGATCAGCAGTTTAATCTTTAATAGTAAGAAATGATCCACTGATGTGGTGACAGGGCTGAGATCATTCATCACAAATATAACGCTGTGTATCATCTGCATATTGACGGTAACGAGTGACGTATCTGAGCGAATAAACAAACCAGGACCGAGAACTGATGTGTGTGTGTGTTTGTGTGTGTGTGTGTGTGTGTGTGTGTGTGTGTGTGTCTCTCTCTCTCACCTGTGTGGGCACCAGGACAGGTGGGTAGGCCAGTTTGTGGTGTCGGTACATCCAGAAGGAGAAGAGGACGATGGCGGTGACAGCCATGATGGGAACCAGTGAGTACATCAGAGTGGTCAGCACCGGACTTGGAGGCTTTGATGTCACCGGTTTGTTGGTTGCTATGGCATGAAAAAAAAAAACAGTTAAAATCAGCGTACATATTTACAGCGGTTGTTTACTCATTTTATTTTGCTGATTCAGAGAAGTAAACACTATGTTTAAATGTTAAAATGTTACTTCTAGTTTCAGCTCCAACAGCTTTAATTAAGAAAATAAACTCACTAAATTCCAATAAAGGAACAAAAAACCTCAGTTTCCTTCATTAAACAGAAAATACAACCGTTGAGGCTGATGCTGCACTGACGGCAGGGAACACAGTAACAAGCTGACCCACAGCACTATTTGGTGAACAAGGTGAACAGGTGAGCAGGTGAGCAGGTGAACAGGTATCTTACTGAGTATGGTCGGCTTGTCTGGACTGTAGAAGAACTTGTCATTACACAGACTTCCTTCACAGCAGCAGAAGAAGACTTCAGGAGCATCTTTCTTCTCCACACACTCATTCCTGATAGAGAAGAAGAACACAGTGTTACATCACTGATCACCTGATCACACTTCCTGTTGGTCCAGCAGAGATCAATACAGATCAATACCGACTGATCTCCTGTCAGTTAACATAAGGAGCCAGAAACACCTCAGTTATTGATTATGTTCCTGTTGATCAGCTCGTCTGTGCTGTTACATTCAGGCATGTTGAAGAATCCAGTTCAGCAACATGTAGAGACAAAGACAGGAAGCTGTCTCACAGACAGACAGACAGACAGACAGACAGACAGAAGTAAGTATGGGTGGGCGATATGGGCAAAACATAATATTTCGTTATTTTGGGGGATTTTGGCGATAAAGATAATCAGTCGATATCCTTTAAAATGTGATTGGAATTGTCTGAGTTAGGGCTTGTGTCCACCAATTTTCATTTTCCGAGCGCCAAGCGGTGTTAAAAGTTGAACAGATTTCAACTTGAAGCGCTCTGAGCGCTGTGCTAAAAAAACGTTGCCACTGACATCTTTTTTTTGTAGGTGCTTAGCGCTCCGGACGCTGAAGCTCATAGGATTTGTATTCAAAATAGGCGCTGCTAGCACTAAAAAGGTGTTTGGTGGACACAGACCCTTATCAGTCTTTTCAAAACCAAACCGTTTCCATGCCAGAGAGGTAGACCCATGTCTCTGCACTAAATCATCTGAAGTACCGGTAGCTTCAGGGACCGGAGGTGCTTGCATTTTCTCTCTACCATCACAATGCGCTGCTAAACTGTTGCAAGGAGGATGCTAGCGAGAGGTCACGTGATCACGTAGGCCCACTAGTCATGTGACTGAATCCTGCCATGCTGTAGAGAGTGCTGCTGCACCGTGTATTAATGGATGTGAGGAGTTTCCGCGTGCGTTTCAATATTTTTGGCGAAGTAATTTAAATACTCGATAATGGAAATTTGCACATCGTCAAAACAACAATGACGATATTATCACAAATGATATATATCGCCCACCTCTAACAGACAGACAGACAGACAGACAGACAGGCTGTCAGGTTAAAACATGTCGACTGTACAGAAAACAAACTCTCAGGTAAGATTCAGTCCAACAGGTACACTGAAGACTCACCTATCTATC